TGCCTTTGATACCACGAGCAAGTAGAAACCCTCATGCCAACATCATCTGGGTTTTCTGTACAGCGAAACCTTCATGCCAACAGCTCCTCTCGCTTTTCTGTCACACATGCTGACCCCTCAGACCTCTGTACCAAACCCGACCCCCCCAAACCTTCATGCCAACATCATTGCCGTTTTCTTTTATGCGTCCGCCCCAACAAACCTTCATGCCAACATCATCTGCTGCTTTTCCCTACATACGCCTCCCTCCCGACCGTAGCCACTTCGAGGAACTCCAGCAACCCAGTGTCGAACAGAGCCCATGACAAGGGGGGGGGGGGCAGGTCGGCCGGGAAATTGACGCAGCACGAAGTTCATGCTGACTCCATGAATCGTGACTTCCCTAACCTCAAAGCTAGCCAGTGTGTGTGTGCCCAGCATAAGCCTTCTGCTCCGTACATTAGCAGCGACTCAGGTCCAAGTGTCCCCAGCCTTCAGGTTCGTCCCTCTCCCTGCGACAGAGATGGACCCTCTCACGGACTTTCTGGACCGCGCCCAAGCAGTCCCGGTTGTCAGCCTCACCTCCCTGGTGTCGCCGTGGCACATGGCAGCCGGCGCTTTCGGAGTGATGTCCTTTGTCCTGCTATTCCTCTACTACACACGCTGGTCACTTCATCAGGTCATTGCTCAGGAGATGCAAAGACAGTTGGCCACCTTGGGACACACGCCCGATGGCGGAAGTACGATCCTGTCAGACATGAGAGCTTTGCTTCAGAACATGGATGATACGGTTCCCAATTGTCTGCAATCACTTCAGGAAACCCTGACTACAGTTGCTGGGGCTGTCACCAGCCACGACAAAGCACTTGACCAGATCCAGCAGGGCATGGTCGACCTCGGCAACGTCTCCGGCAACGAGATCTCTGCACTGCTTAAGGAACTTGGCTCCCTCATGGGGTCACTCCGGCAGCTGACCCCCGAGGAGACGACAAAGTTCCTGAAGGATGTCAAGGCGGCGATCGAAGCACGTATGCAGACACTCCATGAAACGATTCAGGAGCTTAGCACAGCAGCCACGACCCTGAAGACTCGCAAAGTCACAGTGGACATCGCGCCCTTCAAGGAACAGTTTGATGGAGTGCGAGACCAACTTGCGTCTCTTTTGGCCAAAGTGGACCAGAACAGCGGGTACATGCGCGATGATCATGCGTTGATCGTCCGCATCAAGGACAAGCTCGAGGAAACCAAAGCTGATGCCGAGAAACATAAGGCAGCAGTACAAGGAGACATCAAGAATGCCATCACGTTGATACGCAACTTGGAGAAGAAGTGCACGCAGGCCTCGGACTTCAGCGAGAAGACCCTCAACGTGATCGCCAAAGGTGCACCCAGCCCATGGGAGACAGAGCTCAAGAATGTGATCGACGAGTCCGAGAAGCTCCTACGCTGGGTCGCAAGCCAGGAAGAAGCCCTGGCAGATCGAGCACAGAAGATTGAGTCAATGTGCACGGGCATGATTGACCAGTTGGGAGATGTGTCGTCGGCCTTGGAGTCCCACAGCGCTACGATGGGACAGAGACTAAGGCTGCTGAACGAAGTCCAAGGAGGAGTGGAACGTGTCCTGAGTGCACTCCCGCCAAGGCCAGTTCATGAAGGACGCCAACCGCAGCAGCCTCCACCGATGCAAGCTGCACCTCCTCTTCCACAACAAGGCTGGATGCAGAGAGGACCACCGCCGGCTCCATCGCACACGCCCACAGTCTACACGGAGTGGAACGGGCCAGCACCGAGTACCAGGCCCTCACCGGTGATCGTGACAAGCATGGAGAACCTGGCTAATGCTCTTCAGCAACACCAGGGGCACATGTAAAGTTCCCACTAGCTCACAAGCCAAGGTGGAGCCCTGGCCTGAAATCGCAGTGCTTTTTTCAGCAGACTGCAACATGTGATAGGCAGACTCCGGGGCGTGCTGTCTTTCTGAAAGTGTGATAGCTCGTTCTGACTTATCGATGCCCCTAGGAGCCTTTCCTGTCACTGCCGCACTGCTGCTGCCTGTCACTGCCTTTGCACTGCCTTACTTTCCTTTGTACTTGCCTTGCACTGCCTGACCCTTCCTTGCCCACTCTGCACTGCTGCACCTTGCCAGCTCCTCGAGCACGTCAAAAAAGGCCTGACCGAGTGAGCGAGTGTATGCCACCATACGCAGGCATGTGCTGCACTACAGGTCGTAGCCTTGTTCGCGAGATGCATTCGGATCACAGGTAAGGGAGGCTTAGTTCAGTTCAGATGCCGCAGTCCATGCTGTTTACCTGCCTGCAACCTGCACCGGGAGAAACCCTGGACATTAGCACACCAACACTGCCAACAGTAGAGACTGAAGCACCTTCAAGCCCTTTGGTTCCTGGCTCCGACACCCGCTGTAAGTTGTCCTTGCCCTACCCGTCCCTGCACCCAGACCACAGTGACCATAGGATCCGACCGGTAGAAGAAGCCTGTTTGCGAATCTTACAGCTAGATCGACCCCCGTGCCAACTTGATATAATCAGGATGTTCAACATGATCCCCGCCAGCTTCAAAAGACGTGCAGAGAACGGCCGAGGTTCTTACGTTGTAGGTGGGGCCAGCCCTCGATGTCATGACTCACTTCTGACCCACTCGTTTGATATGCCCCTGTTCAATCTTGTAGTTAACTCCCACCTTAAGTGGATTGCCCCGCTCCATAACTACACCACGTATGTTGTACGCCGTGGTTGTGTTGACAAAGTTCATCGTGACACCCGCAATGCCCCGATCCCTTCCCTTGTAATCGCACTTGATACCCCGGACTGGCGACAGGATGGCCTCTGGGTGCACGACCCCATGGGCCAAGTTAGGAAACATCACCAAGGTGAATCACTGCCGGGTCGTGTAGTCCCCCTCCGCAAACCCTATATTTTCAATGCAAGGAAGACGCTTCACGCAGGACACCTTCAGGATCCCACCCGACACCAAGAACGGCTCATCCTTGTTGCTTTTTCAGTCCTTCAGGCCTCAGTGTTGACTTCAGGACTTCAGGAGGACCTTCGGAATGTGGGATTTCCCCTCCCCTCACCCCTGCAACTTCATGTAGCTCTTCATGGATCCCTACCTAGGCTGAAACAACTCAGCATTCACCAGTTCTTTGTACAACATAAACATATCGTCGATTTGCACGATGTTGTTGTAGTCGAAGACACGCAGCCTTCCGAAAGTCGCTAACTAGAAGCAGCAGGTCACTCGCGTGCAATATGCGACGACCCCCTCCAAAACAAAAAACCTCCCCAGGTCCGAAAGCGCCTTGGTTGCAAGCTAGTAAAAAAAAAAAAAAAGCACTGCCTTTCCTTGCGACCTGCCTTCTCCCTGTGTACTGCCCTCCTTGCCCTGCACTGTTCCTTCCTTCCTTTGTCTCACCTCCTCTGAGATTTCCTGTCCTTCTGTCGTCCAGTCGCGGCCTCTGGGATCCTAGACCCCGATGTTCATCTACTTCCCGAGCTTCGACCCCCCTAATCAAACCACGAACCTGCGTTTGTGCTGCCATGGCCCGCGAACTGGTGAGCCACCTCACTCTGGGGTCCAAAACGCGCTGTCGGCACAGTACACTGGAGTGCCCATGCTGAGACTGAAGACCGATTCTGTCGTGGATACAGATTCCTGGGACTCTGGGACGGAATGCAACACACTGTTGTTGCTATATGTGGATCTGCCGGCGCTGCAATCGTACCTGACATGATCTGGTCTGACACACCATGCCGCCGCCAGTGGACTTGATGCTGACTACCACCACTGGTACGGGTGCCGAAGCAAGGGACAGAACCTTGCTGAAGTCTGCTGTGTGTGACTCCACGCAACTTGGCCCGCGCAACTTGGCTCATGTTGGCATCCCCAGGTTGTAGCCACTGCTTGAGTTTTGGTCGACACCGTTGCCGGACAGTCCTCTTGGTTGGATGGACTACTGGCATTGGCAACAGGCACCTGCGCGCTCGCCCCTCCCACGGCACGTGGCTGGCTAGAGCACTGTGAAAACGGCCGGACAGGGTCGACGATTATGGCTTCTGGGAGAGAGAGAGCCTGGTCCCTGGTCCCTGACTACACCCGCCGTGATGACACAATGTCCCGGACCAAGCTGCCTTGGGGGATGCATTGCGCATTGCGCTTGCTCTCTATGCTGGCCAAGCTGCCTCCCGACAGAAGTACCCGTGCGACGGAAAGTGATGGACAGGCGAGTCTGACACCCTGAGTGGCGAAACGCAGTAGAGCCTGGCCTACCCTGTGATGATAACGTATGCGGTTGTTTGTACTGGGTTCAATGGCAGCCGTATTCTGTCCTCCACACCATGCCAGGCCTTCTTGCGTTGCTGAAGTAGTCTAGATGAGCTTCTGCTCTCCTAGTGGAGACCTTGCCAAAGTAACCGAAAGTCGGCACCCACTTACAGTGCTGAACAATGCAATGCGGTAGAGCTGGTCCTGACTTTTGATAGCAGCGCATGCGGTATTTGTGTACGTGTTTGTTTGTGTGTTCAATAGCAGCCGTCACCCTGAACCCAAAGCCAGGCCAGGTCTTCTTGCATTGTAGCTGTAGGAGTTAAACTAGTTGTGATGTGACCCTTGCCTGAGTGGGACTGGCTACAAATGTCTGAACTGCTGAGTGGCACCTTGTTTTTGCACTACCTTGACTTGGGGGTCGAAGGCAGCTGACGCCTTGACTCACACCACTCGGCCCACACTTTCGCCATTCTTCTTGGCCCACTTTGTTCTAGGTTACGGCTACACTTGCTAGTGAAGTTTGGAGGGAGTGTGAGCCGATAGTAGCCGAAGTGACGAGTTGCCTGCAGTGCGGAGTCGCAAGAGTCCGACAAGTGGGAGCCAAAAAGTAATAGTAGTAATAGTAGTAGTAGTAGTAGTAGTTGTTGTAGATGTAGTTGTAGTAATAGTAGTAGTCGTAGTCGTGGGGTAGGAGAGGGCGTGGCCACATTTCCGAAGTGAGCAGTGTGAAACCCACCAAGGAACAACACGTGCTACATGAACAGCTTCATTCAGGGCTTGTACCTGACCGATGCCTTTATATGGAGACTGTTCTCTTTCAAGCTGAGACTGAAGGATGCTCGGATGTTTTGGGCCAGGCATACATGGCAGTACGAGAATGCAGGGACGACCCCTTCCGTTGGAGTAGCAATGACATGTGCAACAACCAGAATCAGAAGCAGAAGTAGTAGCAGCAGTAGCAGTAGGAGGAGGAGGAGGAACAAGTAGTAGAAGAGAGCATAGCCACAATAACATTCCCTGCACCGTGAGCCCGACATAGATTCGAAGGGTCTGCAGGTTCGATCGTAGCAGCTTGATGCGGACACCCCCTCCTCCCACACACGCCTGTAGATGGGTATAAGGCTTTCAGGCTCAATATTCTGCAGAGCAAAGTGCCCTGATCAGGAAACCCATACTGTAAGGCCCCCCCTAATGTTCAGGCTTAACGGCTGGATGTGAACAAAGCCCCTCTGTGATTTTCGAATCGGGGTTTGTCTTGGAAGTCATCCTTGGTGGACGACCCAAGCCATGGCTGCAAAACCCTGAAACCCTGAAGGCTACACTCGGAAACTCTCCCAAACCATCCAAAGCCCCCAGGAAATTTACGTTATCGAAACCTTGTGAAAGCAATGCAAGTAGATACCGTAGATAAATCACTGGGAGCCTTAACATCCGACTTGGGGGGTCGCCACCACCATCGCAACAAGCACTGTCCAGCGTTTGAGGTTGATAACAGAATATTAGTTTTCACCCAAGGCATGTGACAGACAATCATGCGACCGCGACAAGGAACATCCCCTCGACCCTTAAACGACGAGAGTCTGTGTTAGGTTGCTTTTGCGAGGCGCCTACTTAGAATTACATTGCAAACCCCACAGGAGCCTCTATGTAAATCTAATCCCAAAACCTCAAGCAATCCTTATGATAGAGACCCCCGACAAAACCCTTTAAGACGCCTGCCGGAAGCTTTTTCTCTGAATCCTCTGCCCTGCACCGAGCTGAGGACAACCCGTCCAAGGTGGACCAGGAGGAGCCGAGCTCGATCTGTTTGCGGCGACGGCACTGGCTCAGGGTTTTTGTCGGTTTGGAGTTCAGGGTTTTTTTTTTCGGTTAGGGTTTAGGGTATTCCAAGCATGTGGTTCAAGAGGGTATCCGTAAGAGCCTAAGGTTTAGGGCTTAGGTGGTAAGATGGGCAGAAAGCTTGCGCCGCAACAGGACTTCGAGTTTGGCACTAAGCTAGTGGAGCTCCTCCAGCGCCAGGCAGGGCATCCCACCGCCATGTTCACGATGGATAGATATAAGAGTCTAAGATAGGTACATGAAGACATACAGATAGAAGTGTCATAGACGTATCGAATGAGTAGGCCTATACTTGTACGGAAAGTCGATGCGCACAATGAATATTGGCCGAATTTTGAAGATGGCCCCAGGTCCAGCAGAAACTTCGCATCCCCAACCCTCAAAGGTATCCACCAGCTAGCTGGTGCTCTTTTCTTGAAGGTCCCATACAGGGAATACAAGGCTTTGTCCTAGATTACAGGGGTAGCTTTCAGCTTTAACACCGAAAATTGCAGCCTTAAACCCTTAATGCCTGTAGCACCAGGCCGCTAGTTTCTCTTGATGAGCCTGCAATAGGTCGCCAAGATGTCAATGACGCGCCATCCCAACACCGCAGCTCGGCAACCGTCTCGTTACGACTCCGTGCAGGGTTTAGTTTTGAAGGCTGTTGGTTTTTGTCAAGGATTCCAGTACACGGAGTTCTGAATTGAGACATGTTGTTAGGAAGGACGCTGCCACGGAATCTGATCTCGGACGGTTGTTTCATCAGAGCTCGGGCTTATGTATTTATGTGAGTTAAAGATCCACGTGTGGGTGTGTGTATGTGTAACAATAACACTGAACAGAGATCCAGAAGCAGCGATGACGCAGACAGTGAAGATTTGGGCTCCTTCTGAAGATACTTCAATGCGGTGAGTTTCAACGTCATGATGTCCCTGCCTGGCAGGCCATCAAGACCCCCAGACCCCTCTGCCATCACGTACTAAGGCTATGTTCACATGCTCAAACCTCCTTGTGGGTGGTACCTGTGTCTACCGATACATACCCGCAGACACACAGATAGGTGGATGCTTGGGGTTCGTATTTTATGGATTCTCTCATCATGGCTGTGGGCTGAGGACATCTGGGACATGCTGCAAAGCTTTCCAGACATTTATCGCCGCTCGCCCGCAGAGACGAGGTTTCTCAGGCAAGCGAGCTGCGGAATTCAGGGTTTGGTTCTTGCTGCTGCTAGTGGTAAGAGGTTTGCTGGTTTGGAAGTGGGGTGGATTGAGGTCGCAAGTTCATGGAGGGGGAAGGGTTTGAGGATGAGGTGCAGTTTGAGCCAGGGCATGCAAGGTGACGAAAAATGGCTTTGTGTTTGAGCTTCCGCTAGGAACCTGCATGCGGCGCCGGCTTCTGTACAGCAAACGCGGAAGACTCCCATGCTGTTGCGTGCAGGGTGACGACGATGCTTGTGATTGGTGATTGCGGCCTGGATAAAGATGATTATCAAGACTCGAAGATGATGGTGCTGATGTTGCTGGTGTTGACGACGACAACCACTGCGGTGCGAGTTATGATACGATAATGGTGATGGCGGAAGCGGTCGCGACGTCGATGATGGACATCTGCCAGGATGCATGTTGTACTGACGAGTCCGGCCATGACTCCAGCCTCAGCCTAAACCACCCTAGCCCCAACCCCCCCCGTTCTTCGGAGTTAGCTTGGAATGCGGGCTCGTACTTGCTAGGTGGGAAAGACCGCCCCCTGTCTGTCGAAATGTGTTTACGTCCTGCTTTGCGCTCGAAAGCTTCGAGGATCTGGAGAGCAGCAGGATGCTGCTTGGCTTTGCCTGACACTCTAAAACGGATTTTGGGGTTTGGGGCTTAGTTAAGGGGCAGCTGCCTAGGTTCAAGGCTTACGGTGCACGAGCTTTTGTTTTGTTTAGCTTCTAACATCTGTGTATCATCGATGTGGAACTATGTTTTCGTACGGCCGCCCGAGAGAAGAGCAAAGGAGCTTCTGAGGCTTTGCCTAAGGCCGGCCCTTTGCGAGGATTGGGGATGGTTTTGGGGCCCTGAACCCTACATGTCACTAAACCCATCCGCAACCGCAAGTCTCTCACGAGGATCTGGGGATGGTTTTAGGGCGTGAGGCTCTGGGTTTTCGTGATGCGAGCTTCTGGGTTTCGGGCCACGTCGAACTTCCACAAGTCCTGACCCTAAACCTGAATCCTGGAACAGTCCAGGACTCCAAACCTCAAGCTCTAGTTCCTAAATCTTGAAACGAATGAGCGAGATCTGCAACAAAAGATGATCTGTTTCTACGTACCAACAACAGTTCGTCGACATTTTGCCGCATTCTGGGTTGGCTGGTATGCAAGCTCGACAACAATTCGGAATTCTTTTGTGGTAATTGATAATCGGGTGCAAGCTCCGTCACTGCTGAACTTGTTCGGAAAGGGGACGTGTGGCGGACTGCGAGTCACAAGGCAATGCGGGCTTCGTCCTTGTGAAACCCTCCAGCAATTCCTAGACCCTGAACCTTACAGCTTGCAGTCGCTTCAGAGGTCACCGAGACCATCCGCTTCGTCTTCGAGAAGTCGGCTTGGCTTGTTTGCGGCTAGGGGGGGTTTCCAATGCCAGTTGGGAGGCCTTGGAGGTCTTCGGCTGCAGGGATTTGGGGTTTGGCGTTTTGGGTGTTGCTTTGACCCAGACCTGAGACCATAAACCCAAGAGCTCCCCGACGCCGTTTGAAGCTCCTGGCGTGAGCTTCAAGACGTTGCAGATCTCGGGTCTGGTGCGAGGGAGCAGATGACAGACGATCACTGGAACATACTGTAACAGCGGTGGTCTTGTGGGTTGCAGATCACAAACCGGATTTCCCCGGGCACGTTGAGAAAGACACTGAATCACAAGCCCGAGCATCCAAGCCCCTCAAAGCTTTAGTCCCATAGGTGGTATAATTCCCCCGACGTCAAAATACGTCCCAAAGCCCCTTGTCGCCCCAGAGCTTGCAGGCACTTAAGCCCCAAACTGTGGCCATGAATCCAAATCCTGAGCCCTGAACCCTAAGCCTCAATCCTAAATCCGAAATTTTAAGCCCTAAGCTCTGCGCTTGGATTGTCCGAGTGTGAGCGCCGAAACTCTGTGCTCTCAAATCGTACCATAAACCCACCTGGGGATCCAAAAACCTACCGTTCTTACTTTCCAGCCTCTAATCCAGGGGTCATAACCTACGATTTTGTAGCGTTTGGGGTCACAGCTGCAAGTCCTAAACTCACCGAAACAGGCTCGGCAGCTTCGAGCAGCCTCTCATTCGCGAGGTCTTTGCCGGGCAGTTGGTGGAAAACTTGCAGTGCAAGGCGCGGTTTTTCGGTTCGTCGTATCTCGTCGTTCCCTTGGGAAACTTAGGGTTAACTCGGGGTTTAGTCAAAAGGGTTCCTTGGGAGTCAGTGTCATTGCTCATAATATGAAGCCTACGGTGTGTGGAGCAGAATGTATTCCTTCTGGGCCTCGAGGATTCTGCACTTCCTTGCATTGGCTGTGGTGTTGGGGCTCACGGCTTAAGGTTAGCCGTTCTGACAAGCTTACTCACGTAGTCTTGAGATTTTGTAATCAAGCTTTAGGTTTTAGGATTCGTCGTTACCCTCAAACCTGATCCGAAACCCCAAACGGCCGCTGGAGGATTCCGTGTTCGGCCCTAAACCTCAATCCCTGAACCTGTGAAGAGCCAGCCTGACCAGAGTGAGGTCTGCGGCCACATCAAAGCGAAACCGGAGACGTTCACGGAGCCTCGTTGTCAGATGAGAGTTTACTGTAGGCGTCTGAGCAGCTAGCTACATCTATTCTTGGAGTTCTTCTGGTTGGCTCTTGAGACTTTAACTTTTTGGGTTTCTATATAAACTATAATAAGGGGGCTAAAAGTTTAACTTTTAGCTCAGTATTCCTTGAGCTTCCCTGTAAGCCTCCCACGGTATCACCGCCAACCCGATTCTGGAGATCGATGCCCCTGGGGCTTTGGGGTTCAGTGTTTCGGATAGATGTAGCCTGTCGAGGTTTGAGGATACCTTGACAGGGTTTGGGTGGGGGCTCAGAGGGCTCATCGTTTGAGCTTTGGGTTTAGGGTTTGGGGTTTGGGCTTAGGGTGTTCGGATCATTTTTTTCTTTTTATGGCTCGCTCGATCTTCACATGCATGTGGCCAGCTTTTGGTTCCCTACTTGCCCTGGACCTGCATGCTTTACGGGATGGAAGAGCCCCCAGCAGATCTGAGCTTTAGGCGTTTGGGGGTCGCGGTTTAGCTTGCTGGCTGTTGTTCGAGTTGCGACGCGGGCTGGATGCCCTCCAGTCGAAGATGTAAACCTTCGACCGAAAGCTCCTAAACATGTGCATGCAAAACCCTAGGCAGGAAGCACCATACGCAAACCCGAAGGCCTCAGCCCGAAATTGCTAAGCCGCTTCGTCTCAAGTGTTCTGGGGAGTTATCCCGCAACGCGGGCTCCTCCTTGCGAGGTAAGAGGGGGAAAAATGACAAAGCTCCAGATCCCGAACGTTCGTAACTCGTGAGCCCTGCGAGCCTTTATAAGGACCTCGTCCTCTCGGTACCGACAGAGGAGCAGGCCAGCCCCGGCAGTGTTGCGTACAGGGATTGACCGTTACGGCTGTAGGGTTGAGGGTTTTGGATGAGGATTTAGGGCTATAGGGTTGAGGGTTTTGGGTTCAGGGCTTGGGGGCTTCAAATTAGCATGTGGCTTCAAGGTCTGGAGACACGACGGTGGCTTGAGACCACGGCAGCCTAATGCATAGGTTTACTTCTGCATTCGGGACTGTTCTTTGCTTGAGCGATCACCCAGCATAGCGTAGCAACACTACTCGCCCATCGGCTTCTGCAACCAAAGTTTTGTATGCCCTGTCTAGTTCAGGCTTCTGTAGTGTAGGATCGTAAAGTACGGGTGGGATCTGAGCGTTTCCGAAAGGTGAACCTTGGATGCTCCACCGCCAAGCCGCAGATCACCGCCTTCAAGCATGTTCAGCCTAGAGTATTGCTTGCGTTGTCTGTCATCGCTGCTAACAGCTGCGGATAGTTTTATGTTGGTTCTTTGCACACGACCCCCCTGCCGTCCAAAGGCCAGCCCACGCAACCAGGATTCAAGAGATCATGTGACTTGGCCAAAGCCCCGGAGTCTAAAGCTCTCGAAGGTGAAAGCGGCTGGCAGCATCCCCACCACGCAGGCACTTCTGGAGGCACCGGGACGTCGGGCTTGCAATAGGTTCTTAAGGTTCCGCTGGGCACAAGAAGGGATAGACGTAAACCTTTTGAAGCCATGGGACATATTGGCGCATGCAAGGGCGAAGAAAAAGAATACATCGCCAGTGACCGGAAACATGCGTGTGTGCGCACTGTTCCCAGCTTTGGGCGCCTCTTGGTCAGGGCTGGCAGAAAGGGAATTCCAATGTAGAATCTTGCGGCTGCTCCTGCACTACCGGACTTCCCGAAACTCGGAGCCGTGTAACCCTGGACATGTCAAGTTGTAGTGCGAAAAAGCAAGCGCCCAAACAAGCATGAGTGCAAGGATCGGCATTAGACTGCCCTTGCTTTGCGACCCCTACTTCAAGAATTCACTAAATCCGGTATTGCAGGATCGACTCAAATTCGAGGAGCTGCCCGGCTGATATGATTACAGTTGAGGGGCTTTGGAGGATGAGGCCCAGGCACGTGTTAATGGACGAAGGTTTTGATGACGGTGTTCGGAGTCATGATGGAATGCAAGGCTTGGTCCCTGTGGTTCAACCGCACATGCGATGCCGTCGCCATCATCATCGCCATCAGGTTTCTAAAAAAATCCTCATGGCCAGCACCGTCTTACTGTCACCAGTATTTTTTGCATCATCCAAGAATAGCTTCACTGTGCAACCGCTAATGGGTAGTACCGACGCGCAAAGATGTGTTCGCACCCCGGCATTTGTGCTTTCCACTTGGATCCTGATGAGGAAGTTTTGTTTCCGCACTAGCATGTTGACACGATTGAATGGCTTGGGCTTACAATGTCTGTCTGCTCGGCAGCATGCTATACACCTGCGAAGCTTAATTGTTTGAGTATTGAGGCCGGCCGTGCGGCGGGTCTAGGACCGAAAGTAGGAACACAAACCGGCCGACGGACGAGGGTTCCGTGTCCTGGGGTTTATCATGGGTTATGCTGGAGGGTTACGCTGTGGGCACTGCATGGCACCAGCGCTGACGCTTTTTGCGCCCCAAGCGTTAGACTCCGGCCTTTTGAGTCCTGAACTGAGAGCATCGGTGCGGCAGTGTGTAGGGCAGAGTACACTACGCCCTCAGCCTTCAGTTTCCCCAAGACGTCGTAGCCGTAGCCCCTAATCTAAGGCCTGAACAAAAAGCTCGATGAGGATTCCCTAAAACTCCCGTTTCAACTTATGAAGTCCTGCAAATGCACCGGCAGAAGCCGATTAGGGCTCAGGGTTTTTCGCTGCCGGCATACACTCCAAGTCCGTGCTCAAAAAGGGTCTTACTTCTGCTCCAGTCCTGGCATGATGTTGCAAGTCAGTGGCAAAGGGCTCCGCGTTCGCTTGGAAACAATCCCAGCCCAAGCTGAACAGGGTTCAGGGTCAGGGGTTTCGGGTTGACAAATTTTAGCCGAGCAAACGAACCCAAGGAGACCGAATGAGAGCCCACAAGCAATTGAGGCTTGATGCGGATTGCTTAGTGAACTGTGACCGATGCCAGGCGCGCTTAGCAGTGACGACGGGGTTGAGTTTTCCGGGGGTTGGTTTGGAAAGGGAGATTGAGACAAATTTGGACTATAATGATCCCCAAACCATGCAGGACCTCGCAAAGCTGTTCGCCCCAACATGCAGTTTCGAGCTTGAGGTGCACCCCCCACCAAAAAGCATCTTGTACCCCTTCAGATTGCAGAGTTCAGATTGCAGAGTACGTCCTGAGACCTTGTGCTTCGATTAGCTTGTGTATACGGCTCCGACAGGACAGACTTCTGAGCCAGCGAGATAGACAGCGTCCCCGCCCATGTTTTCTTGTTTAGCCTTACCAGTTTATGCTATGGAGCGAGACAGTACGTAGAAAGATCCTCACCACGTGGACCCCGAACTCAGGTATCCCTGGTATCCCCATGATTAAGAAGGCCGCATCAACAACTCAAAGAGCTAAAGATGCCAAATAGTGGCAAATCCCAGTTACAGTTCGGCTTGCAAAGGACAAGCGACAGATGGGGAAATGGTGTGAGATGCCTGCCTGCACCTCATCTTTCACCTCCAAGCCGAAAACCCTACAGCTAAACCAATGCAACAGAAACTGAATGGTTACAGAGGTTTATTGAACTCCTTCTCTCTTGTTAAGAAGATTGTACGCCATGGCCACGTAAAGCCCGAAATGCAACCCTCTGGAGCTGTAGGTCACTCCCTGGAGACAGGAGCAGACGCCCAGCGAATGTGCTCAGCTCAATTTTCCTCCTAAACGTTGAACAACACCGAAGACCTTCCAACAGCAAACGCATGAAAAGCTCTCAACCCTGCAACTTCAACCAGTTTTCGTATGTTGTGGTCCAGTCATGTAGCCTACATGGCACATATTGGCAAAGCCCTCACCTCGGAACCTTTAACCAGTCTGAATACCTACACGCTGAACCCTAACGCTTTTGCTGACACCCATAAAACCCGTATAACACCTTTAAACGAACAGTTACAGGATCCCATGAAGGCACCCCGCAGCTGAGGATTGTGTCCCCACCGTGCCACATCTGCATCTGCGGCTCCTGCAGCAATTTTTTTCCGGGGGTCTTGGGGTCTTGGTTGCAGGGCTCAAGGCCTTTAGGACATGGGGTTTTATTGCTGAGGACTTTTGCGTTGTTGAGGCTTGGAGGCCTGGAGTCTGGAGGCTTCGGCCACGGATCGAGGGAAACGGGTAGCAGCGAGTATCGCTCCCTCGAAGGAGAAGAGCCCGCAATGCAAGACTGAACCCCCTTCAAAGTAAGTCCGACATCCCAAATCCTTGTGCAACCGGAGAGCTTTAGCCCCCCCAGTCCATATTTTGCTCGGATCACCCGAGAACTCTGACCCCAAGTTTCAGATCCAGCTTATTGAGTCTACAGGAGGCTTCTCAACAAAGGATCGCACCAAACATGAAATCGACAAGAAACAAACCCAGCCGATGCAAAACTCAGCTTACACTGACATGCCGGCTCAAACCTTAGAGCATAAACCTACAGACGAAATCCAACCTTACAGTTACAGACTGTCAGACCTGAAGTGCTTGTTTAGACCCCAAAACACGAAGAATGCTCTTGACAGGGAGCTCAAAAGCCCTAAACCGTTCCACCTCAAGACCTGAGACCGGACAGGCTAAACTTTAATCTCAGCACTCTCCTCGCCTACACCGATCCCCTAAATGCCCAGTCGATTTCCCAAATGCCAAAGCCCTGACTGAACCCCTAAACTCCCAATCGCCAGCACAGAGCCTGTCGGTAAAGGCCTGAACCGCTTTACGTTCAACGTGGAGAAGATGGACTTCACCAAGGCTTCGGGTAAGAGTTGAGAGCCTAGGGGTTTGACCTGAGACTTTAGGGAGACGTAGGGGTGGAGGAGAGTTCAGATGTTTAGCGAAACTTGAGGTTTGAGGTTTTCGGGGTCGAGGTTTTCACGTGCTGGAGGGGTTTGGGGTTTCAGCGGAGATCAGCTTAGAGGTTGCGGAGTTCAGGTGCTCGTGCATTTGTCGGGTGCTCGCGATATCCTAAACGCAAAACCCTGAATCCTGAACCCCAAACCCTCAACCCTAAACCCTGTATCGAGGCTGAGTTTGTCGTGCTGACCTTTGAGCTGCAAGTCATCAAGTGCTCACAGCTCGCAGGTTACAATTAGCTACTACGAATGTGGCTTTTTCCATTGCTGTTCAACCAAGATTCCCTGCAATGCGGGCCTCGTCCTTGCTAGGTAGGAGGGAAAAAATGTGTATCCTGAACCCTAAACCTGACGCCTCCGCCCCCGAAACCCCTATCCTGCAAGGAGAAGACCCCGGTTCGCGTGGACGGGCCTCTGAAGATTGGCCTTGTCCTCAGTCCACAAACTGGGCAAGCATGTTGTTCTTCTTCCAAGGACTTAAACCCTAGCATGGTCACTTAGCGTATGATCTTGTTGAGTTTCTTGAGCTTTTGGGGTGTGTTGGAGTTTGAGTGCCATAAGCTGCTGCGTGTTTCGCTGCGGGGTGATGCCGCAGTCCCCAGTTGGGAGTAATCAGAGAGGGCAACTTCCCCTAAGCATAGCTTCCTTCAGACTCCAGACATCACATCATGTACCCCAGATAGCTTACAAAGGTTCGATCCTGACAGCTGGGCAGCAAGCTCAAAGCCTTGATCCAGCCCGAAACTCCCGTACATCATAGTATAGAATTACAGTATGTATTCAATTTTATGGTTTCTTGCTGTATACTTCAGCATATTACAGTTGACGGTAGTTGGTCATACTTTTTTGTATAGATGGTTCTAGTATCGAAGACCCCGAACCCTCTCGGAAAACTTAGCCTTTGATCTGGCCCTCGTGGGTTTGGGGATCCCTCGCCATTCTGTCTCGGGGGGTTCACAGGATTTCCGCCTTTGGGGGTGTTTAGGGCTTTAGAGTTCGGATCTCTTTCACCCTAAGCTTCAGTTGACGGGAGCTTCGGGAATCGGTCAAACACTGAAAATTTCCAGAGAGCAACCCCTACGCAATACAGACTCATAAGGCTCTGATCCTTCAACTCAACGAGGGACAGTCGGGGGCACGGCTTTCCTGAACTGCTCTGCGAGGTCCCTACGAGTACGAGCTGTACCATGTCATCATCCACACAGGCTCGGGGTGGTTTCAGGTCGTTGGCCTCTTCCACTTCTGTGCTTTACTCCCTCCAGCCTGAAGTGCAACTCAGTTTTTAACCCCGGTATAAAGCCACTGAACACACCTCATAAGCCACATTAAGCCTTTTCCAGCCCTAACCTCAGATCCCAGAAACCTAAACTCCGCACCCTACATGCTGAGCCCAAAGCCCTGAACCCCAAGTCTGACACCCTCTAACTCTCTGCTTCGATGCACAACTCAGCTTATAGCCGGCCGCTGAGCAGGCAAAGATGCCTCCAGCGGCCACTACTACGCGGTGGGACGGCGATCCGAGCCGGTGGCGCCTCGTCTCGATGCTTTGGTCTTCAGAGGGCTTCAGGTTTTTGGGGCATGAAATTACGAATTTTTTGTGGGGTCTTCGGGGGTTGAGTTGGGTTTGGGATTCTCGGTGGGTTTAGGTCTTCCAGAGCTCCGGGCTTCTGGCTTTGGGGAGGTAGGGTCTTCATGCTTACTCTACTCGTAAGAGGGTCTCAATAGTCAGTAACAGTATCCCTGTGGGACGCACTCGTCCGTATGAGCTCTACTGTCCGCACCAGAACCAGAACAGTATCCCTTCGTGGCCACTTTATAAGTCTGTGATAAGATACCCCCAGACCCTGATTCTAGTTATCAAGACCCCCTGAAGGAGTTGAGTTTGTTCATGATAGTATCCTTTGTAGTCCTTCTATCTATATACACAGATACACACACACACATAAACATATATATATATATATATATACACGTATGTATGTATGTATGTATATATATATATATGTGTGTGTGTGTGTGCTAAACTACCCACAAGCCCTGTTCTAATTGCCAAGGAACCTTCAGGAGTCGATTTTTGTGTGGATGCAGCATTCAGGGTTTCGGTTTTAGAGGTTTCGGGCTTAAAGGTTTCGCATCACTTTGATGTTTATGAGTTTTGGGGCTTGAAACCAGGTATTCTATGGGTCACAGTGTGGGGTTGAGGCCAGAGTTCCGTTTTGTTGAATTTCGCGAGGTAGAAGTTTGGTTTTGCGATTTTTCATGTTGGATCCCAATTTCGAAGCACCGTCGCCCTAAGCACAGGCAGTTAGTTCGTCTTAGTCTTGGCGTCGGGCAAAGGATCCTGGGATTCTGCCAGTCGGACATAGGGTTCAGGGCCAGAAACCTAGTGACTAGGAGCGCCTCAAACTTACAAACTATTGGTTTTCATGATGGAGTTTTTTTGAACCAAGGAGACCTTATTTAGGTGCCTTGCCACAGGGATCCTGTCATATTCGGGTGTCTGTGAGGCTCCTCATTTTCTGAGCCCTAACCCTTACAGGCTCTTACGTGGGAACCCTTGAATTTGCTGGGGGCCCTGGTTCTTGTCCTCTTGTTTCCCCGGTCCCATAAGGGCAATTGAAGGCCACACGTGAGACCCGAATGCGCCGGGAAGAATTTTATAGGCTATCTTTAAACCGACGTTTGGGGTTCATCTTGGCTTGTGCCAACCCCTTACTTCCTTCGTAGCTTATAGACTGATGCGAGTAGTTATAGGTATGTGCTAGAGAAGGAGACTTTATTCATCACCTCTGATCAAGATTTACGGCTTCGGATTTTGCAGGTCTATTCGCAAGTCTATTCAAAGTATTCCAGCTTCTACTTTGGCCGGAGCCCTAAACCCATGAAACCCCCGAGGGCCTCACAGCCGCAACTCCACGACTCCCCCTGCATCAGGGGTCGGGGGACACGAGCTGGCCTCCTATCTGCAAGTAGGGTGTAGGCAAGGGGTTCAGGTCCGTTTCCAAATCATGATATGCGGATCTTGCAGAACTCTGACGTAAAGCCCAAACCCGAAACCCAAAACACCCAAAGCCCGAAATCATTTTAAGATGATTCAAGCAAAACCCGAAATTTCAAGAACCCATGTGTGTCAAAACCCTGCTCTTGCGACGTGGTAAGTCTACTTGGTATCTGAGGCTATTTCAGTGTTCCTAGAACAGCTCCCATAACTTCTGCGCCTGCAATCGTCCCCATAAGCCATGTTACGAACCTCCTTGCAAAGGTGTGCAAGAACAATGCAAGTGGAAATTTTTGAAGCCCTAAACCTGATAACTTGCGGAAGGCCTTGAAATGCTCTGCAACAGCCCGTTGAGAATTTTCATAGCACGGCTTGCGAGTACCACCAGTACCATCATGCGCATGATGGGATGCCCGCTCAGAAATTGTTTGCAAGCCCAGCAGCATTGACGCAGAAGGCGAGGTCATGAGCACGTTTCGCTGAGGGGGACATAACTTATCACCCTGCTTAGAACTGCGAAGTCTCAATATCTCTCAAGGTCTGCTCAAGGTCGGTGAGATGAGACATGTCAACGCAGAAGGCTGACTCCTACCCTGAAGGATAACAACCCTGCCAGGAGCGTTCAAAACAAGGTGGAAAAGATCTTTCAATCTCATATGGATCCTTCAAGTTTTCCCTACACCCGACATTTAAACCCTGGGCCTAGTTCCTGAACCCTCGCAACTGCGTTGTCACCGAGCTGCGAGAGTCCAACTTCAGGTACACCATGGACGACTCGCAGATCAAACCGGCCGAGCTTGGCTTGCTGCAGGGCAACCCGCCCGAGAAGCTCAAGGACGACAACCCGTGACTGAACCACGTTTAGCTTTTGAAGTTTAGGGCTCGGGGTTCAAAGATGAGGACTAAGAAAAGGGCTGGGGTTTGTGGAGTTTAGGGGACCGGTCGTTTACAAAGGGGCGTTTTAGCTGAAAGGGATCGACAGAGGGCCAGTCAGGATGTGGGTGCTTTGCTGGGACTTTCCGGTCGGGATCCAAGACTGATTGACAACTCCCGGACTTGTGGGATTCCTATTTTATGATGCGTGGATATGTGCATCAGCAGGTCTCAAATCAGTAAGCGCAAAGTCCAAAGTCCGGGCATGTGTGGTTCACCACAAACTTAAGCCGCTTGTGCCGCGAGAGGCTCTGAACTTGAAAAACTCTAAACGCCAAGCCTGCCCTACTGGCTAAGCGCTGCGGCGTAACGCCGTAAATCCTGAAGGCCAGATTTTTTTTGTGCTAATCGTTCACACAGCCGTTGTTAAACCCTTACAGAATCCTAAGCATATACAAATCCTAAACCCTAGACAGCATAACGTAAAAAAATCCTACAGAATCCAAAACTTCCTAAACCCTACACTCCAATAAAACCCTTCAGGTACGTCCTCTTCTACCGCTGCAAGAACGCCCCGGCGACTCCGGCGCTAAGGATCCCCAAGAAGCTCGAGAGCTTCGTTAAGAAGGCCAGGGGTTCAGGGTTTAGGGGTTTTAGGGGTGTTTAGGGGTTTAGGGGTTCGGAGTTGGGGGTGTGCGCTGCAAAAAGAAAAGCTTATATATGGGGTTTAGGGGGTGTGTGGGCTGTATGATTTTTTAAATTTTTGGGTTTCGGGTCCGGGGCTTGAGGTTTGGGGTTTAGGGTTTGATTATCTCCCCTTGGGATCCCAGGGTTTAGGTTCAGTGTAGGGTTTAGGGGCTGAGAAGGTCACGGTTTGTAGATGTCCAATCATAAACACATGGTCTTACGGACCATGCTATTCATGCACTTTCTATTTTTGCATGCCACTGTCTCTAGTAATTAGCAAGTGTTGTTCTCGGGTTTATTCGTACCAACATCATTACCGCTTGTATTTGTGGAACCATGATTCTACTTCTAAAGCTATGGTTGTGCCAGGCGTCTTCCCACTTTGATTTGAGGCTTCAGCAGTTTAGGGGTCTCGGGTTCGGGGCATGTAAATTTGAAGATTGAGGTCCTATCCGTGCAGGGTTGAGGGTTTGGGGCAGGGTTCCGGGTTGACAATGCACCTGGTTGAAGTGAGGAAAACTCTGTGGACAGCCCATTCAAAGACTTGCATTGTGAACCTGGCTTAGGTCCGTGGAGGTGACGACGATTAAAGACATTACACTGTGGCTTCATGTCGGGGTTTTCCTTATACTTATCCAAAGTCAGGGGCTTGGGTGAAGACGTCGGGGTGTGCGTTTCAGGAACCTTCGGCCTCAAGACCCTGAGCCTTAGACCACAAAGCGGAACCTTACGGCACTACGATCCCACAAGTGTGAGCACTTGCTAGCAATACCCCTTAATTAGAGATCCCACAAAGTTTATTAAAAATGCAAAACAAAGCGGCCCCAACACACTGGTCGAATCATTCAGGCTCCTTTAGTAGAGCCCTGGTTGCAACCCTTGTAGTATCCCTTGTAGAACCATCACGAACCCTTTACGGAACCTCACCCTCATTGCCCCGATATATGAGCCTGCCTTCCTTGAGGAAGATGCCAAGCGAGAGTGAGGCGAGACAGGCCCCTGGGATGGCCTTGGGATTCTTCCGACACTTTTGGGCTTCGAGGGGTAAATAACTGTCGCAGATCATCTCTGGAGTAGCAGACACCTCGCTAGAGAGTTTTTGCGGTTCGCAAATCCCCCCAGGTTAGTGTTGAGTGGGGTTCAGCGCGGATTCGGGATTGGGGTTGGGCCTGTACGCGTCAGTGTTGAGGAATTACTCCTCGGATAATGTTGGATCCCGATTAACAAACCCCCCCCCCCCCTCCCCCCGCTGTCAAGGTTAGCCCGCTTGAACTTGTTCATGGGTTCAAGTTTTTCCCGGCCCCCCCCCGATTATGTGGGGATGGGGTTACTTATTAAGTATAGTAGTAAGTAGATAGAGAGTACTTAGTAAAGTATTGCAGTCGTACAATAGGAGTAGAGTAATATAGTAGTAGTACAGTAGTATAGTAGTAGTACAGCAGTATAGTAGTATTACAGTAGTATAGTAGTAGTACAGTAGTACAGTAGTACAGTAGTAGTACAGTAGTATAGTAGTATTACAGTAGTATAATAGTAGAACAGTAGTATAGTAGTAGTACAGTAGTTTAGTAGTAGTATTGAAGTCTAGTAGTAGAAGCAGTACAGTAGTATAGTATTATTACAATAGGGGGTTGGGGGTTTGAAGGGGTTCAAGGACTTGAGGGGGTTGAGGGGGTTGGGGGTTTGAAGGGGTTCAAGGACTTGAGGGGGTTGAGGGGGTTGAGGGGGTTGGGGGTTTGAAGGGGTTCAAGGACTTGAGGGTGTTGAGGGGGTTGAGGGGGTTGGGGGTTCAAATGTGGCATGAGCTTGCCATCAGCTCAAGTGCCCGCATAAGCGCCGCATCCCCACCATTGACCGTTAGGTCATTTTCAAGGGCCTGCAAATCCCTGGTCCCGGGCCGGACCCTGTTAATCGGGGGGGGTTTCCTGCTATTCTGGGGGGGGCGCGGGCCTGCAAAGGGGTAGCCTTGGAAAACTTGACAAACCTACTCTTTTTATATACGGTTTAATTAGGGAACCACCTGTTTCTGGCAGCAGAAGATATCACCGAAATCCCAGGGATCCCAAGGCCAGGGATCTCTGACCCTTCCATCTCAAAGCTTCGGGCTTTCTAGGTCAAAGCAAAGGGCCTGCAAATCCCTGGTTCCGGGCCGGACCCTGTTAATCGGGGGGGGTTTCCTGCTATTCTGGGGGGGTCGGGGCCTGCAAAGGGGTAGCCTTGGAAAACTTGACAAACCTACTCTTTTTATATACGGTTTAATTAGGGAACCACCTGTTTCTGGCAGCAGAAGATATCACCGAAATCCCAGGGATCCCAAGGCCAGGGATCTCTGACCCTTCCATCTCAAAGCTTCGGGCTTTCTAGGTCAAAGCAAAGGGCCTGCAAATCCCTGGTTCCGGGCCGGACCCTGTTAATCGGGGGGGGTTTCCTGCTATTCTGGGGGGGTCGGGGCCTGCAAAGGGGTAGCCTTGGAAAACTTGACAAACCTACTCTTTTTATATACGGTTTAATTAGGGAACCACCTGTTTCTGGCAGCAGAAGATATCACCGAAATCCCAGGGATCCCAAGGCCAGGGATCTCTGACCCTTCCATCCCAAAGCTTCGAGCTTTCTAGGTCAAAGCCAAGGGCCTGCAAATCCCTGGTCCCGGGCCGGACCCTGTTAATCGGGGGGGGTTTCCTGCTATTCGGGGGGTGTCGGGGCCTGCAAAGGGGTAGCCTTGGAAAACTTGACAAACCTACTCTTTTTATATACGGTTTAATTAGGGAACCACCTGTTTCTGGCAGCAGAAGATATCACCGAAATCCCAGGGATCCCAAGGCCAGGGATCTCTGACCCTTCCATCCCAAAGCTTCGAGCTTTCTAGGTCAAAGCCAAGGGCCTGCAAATCCCTGGTCCCGGGCCGGACCCTGTTAATCGGGGGGGGTTTCCTGCTATTCGGGGGGTGTCGGGGCCTGCAAAGGGGTAGCCTTGGAAAACTTGACAAACCTACTCTTTTTATATACGGTTTAATTAGGGAACCACCTGTTTCTGGCAGCAGAATATATCACCGATGAGGGTAAGCTCCTCGCATACTGGATGAGGAAGGAAGCCCGCAGATTGGGCAGGAACATTGCCCCTAAGTACAAGCTCAGCTCTGCTGGACATGCGCTGGTCTAATGAGGAAAAGTCTGCCATCATGAGTTCTTTACGGTTTAGGGCCCTAAATCCTTGCTTCGGTGATTTTCGGGGATGGCCCCGTCTAATCGGGGGGGGTTTAGGCGAGCTCCGGTACTATAGGGGTGGGGTCTAATGGACTTCTTCATTAAGCCCATGACATGCCCGGGACGGCCCCGTCTAATCCGGGGGGGTATCTTAATCGGTAAACGACATTACACATGGCGGCTTAAACGGTTCCGATAAGGGTTCTTTCCAAAGCCAGGCAAAACCACAAACGTTCAAGCCCTGAACCAGCGACGACGCCTCGAGGATCTTCGATATTTCTCCGCGTTCGACACAGGGATGTGTGAGCTGAAGGCTTTTCCCAGTGCTCAGTTCGGACCCAGGGCTTATGACCTTCGGGAGTCGAGGCATTGAGATTGAAGCTTTTGCTGGGAGAGCGCTAAAAACGATGATGTTGGGCTTCTTGTTGTGTTGCAGCACGAAGCCCTGGGTCCTATCGGTTCCAGAGTTGTAGAAGCGCCAAGTGCGTGGCTGCAGGGCCACTTCAAGGTGTTTAGGAATTAGGGCGTTGAGGGTTGGGCGTTTTCAGGGCTCTTGGGACGAGGGATCTTGGGGTGTAGGGTTCAGGGTTGGGAGTTGGGGTTTAGTGCTGTGCAGGCTTATGGTTTAAGGACTCTGGCTCTGCTCAGTCGTGGTTTGTTTTCGTTTTTATCTTTTCCGTCGATTGTGGGTCATGTGTTAGTCACACTACTGCTCCATTTTTTGTAGGGCATGATGAGTGTGCAAACCCCAAGCACTACGCTCAAAGCCCTAAGCATTCGACCCCTGAGGTTGTTTGGGAGTCTAGGGTTCCTGTGAGTCCGGCAGTTTGGTTGGAGGGGACAAGTGTGTGCGATAAGAGCTGCCTTTCTGCAGTGGTCGTGGAGCTTTCTACGCAGGGTCATGAGTACCTAGTAGGGCTTGCTGTGCTTCTGGGCGTACTGCATCTGCCCTGGCCCTCCAATATTGAAATCTCGAACTTGAAGAAATGGAAAGTCGTTGCCAACTCGAGGTTTTTTGCTGTAAACTTCATGCCGGGAGCCCCCAAAACCTTTACCCCACGCCCGAAACCACAATCCTAGGCAGGCTAAACCCCAACCCTAAGCCCGTAGTAACTTGCATGAGAAGGCGAATGACCAGACATGCACCTGGCGCTCCGATAGGGTTTGTACAGCTGCTTCAATGCCTGCCAGGAGATCAAGGAGGGGAGCCCGAAGCTTTAGGGTTTAGGGTTTAGGGTTTAGTACCGAAATCCAACGCTCTGCGAAACTCGACACTGTCATTCCGTTACACTTAGAGTCAACTTCAGACCCAGCAGCCCTGAAATGAAAAGCTCTAAGCCCCAAACCCCGAACTCTTAACCTCCAAACCCCGAACTCCTAACTTTAGAACCCTAAACTCTAAACTCTAAATACCCTAAACACGACACTCCAAGCCTTGAGCCCTAAGCTCTAAGCCCCAAGCCGCTCCCAGTGCATCTGCGATTCTGTGAAAGCCAAAAAGCGTGGAGACCTCGGGTCTCTCCTTCCTCGGTCTCGGCTTTACATCTTTTGTGGCCAGAGGATCCACAGATGGAGGAGGCCGGCCAGGGCCCTTTTGTAGATCGAGCCGAATGTGAGAAAGACCCTAAACGGCCCCGAAGCCTAAATGACCCGTAACCCCTAAAACCCGAAACCTCTAACCCCCAAACCCGCAAGCCCCCTAAGAGCAGGAAGCCCGAAAGAGGGGACTCAAGGAGGCTTGTCTTCTCCACGCCTCTCGCGGCAATCCGGTTTCACTGCCATCGCGACCCGAACTTCCCATCCCAAGCCGTACCTGAACCCTGTACAACTATGTCCTGAGAAAAGCTAGTAGGTGATCCAGCGGTTAAGGTGCCTTAATGCCATGGACCGTGGACTCCAAACCCAAAGCCTAGCAAAAACAGCCGCCCTCCCAGGCACCGAAGCTGACTTCTTCCCAGAACCTTTTAGTCTCTTTAGCATGGGTACCAAGACACCGACTGTTTGGGCCGAAGATGGCATCAGCAGAACAGGACCGGCTTGTCAGCTGGTGTAGAGCTCGCCTCCGTGACAGAAGGTTCTGCGAGCTGCGGCGTGCGCCGTCAACAAAACCAAAGCTCCAAGACCACAAAGCCCTGCAGCCCTAACGTGCCTAGCTCTAAACCCCGCGCCTCCGAGATCCTGAAACTCGAAGCTCAAAGACCCCAAACCCTGACCTTGCTTTTGTGTCCGGGTTGCTACGGCCGAGGCTCCAAGCGGGGCCCGATTTCTAATGCTAGCACATTCTAGCTCGCAGTTAATTAAATCTGTTTTCAGAGCTCGAGTTTAAAGATGTAGGCATATGAGACAGGCTCCAACTGCTGGGAGCTTTGCTGGGCTTTATAATCCTGCCTGCGGCTACTTTAGGCCTTGCGCTTTGGGGTTCAGGGCCTTTAGCACCGGAATACTTGGGAAACCTCGTGACCGGGAGCCACTCAGACTCAACCGTCAAGCTGATGCTCAAGAGCTTGCAGAAATGTAGGGGCCCGAATAATTCGAACCGGGTTTTGGGGTATATATTGTTCTATATTCAAAAAAAGGAACCTGCTAAAACAGGATTGGTAATTGTTTAGGCTTCTATATTATGCACTCAGGTCTTGAGAGCTTGTGCTTGCACGTCAACGTGTGAGACTTTCATCTTACCTCTGAGTTCAAGGGTCCCGTGGTCCCCAAAGTGGAAACTCAAACCCCCAAATCCCCATCCTGGCACTGAACCCTTACACTGTGAACCACAGAGCCTTCGGGCCCCAGAACCCAAAAGTATCGATGATCCTTTCTCCGAGCTCTCACTCCCTAACGATCCTTGGGCCAATATGCTACTCAGGCCCTGCTTGCTGGTCCTGCTTACAGTGCGGCAGGTTGGCTGTGGGTTCCTTTAGTTTATGCGAACCAAAGCCCTGAACCCAGCAGCTTCGCTTTCTCTTCCCTGCTTCTTTACATGTGCTTAGCCTTGCACCGTCGTGACTCTGTGGTGTGGTCGCGGGCTGCTATGGAGCACCGTCTTGGCCTTAAGGGTTCGGAGCACTAGTTCTGCTGCTTATTTTGGGTTCCGTAACGAAGCAATAGTATGAGAAGTCCAAAAAACACTCTAGTTTGATGAACTTTAAATTTAAATCCTAGATTCTGAGCCCTGCGGGTTGTTAGGCAGGTCGAGTGTATCTGGGATGGTTCAAGCAGTGCGCGGCCTGTGTAAGCGTTTAAACCCTCCTTGTGCATGCTCCCACGACCGCCGCGCCACCAGTATCACAGGATAACCCTAACCCCCCCAGTACCCTCAATCCCAGACTCGAGAGACCTCTCACCAATCCAGCCCTCAACCTAAACCCTAGACCCTAAATCTTAGGGATACAACCCTAAGCCTTAGACCCTGAACCCCAAACCCTGAACCGTAGCCCAACCTGAATCCTTAGCCTCGGAAGCCAAGCCCTGCACCCTGAAGCACTTGTAGAAGCCCAAAGAACCTTAAACAAGACCTACTACACCCCCCCTGGTATTCCTTCAACCCTAACCTAGCGAAGCATACCCCAAGTCATACTCGATTCCCTCTACAAGAAAAGGGGGAAAAGCTTGTTTTCAAGGGGGTCTTGGGCTCTGGGTGGCTGCCCTGAAGCTGTCATGGCGCGGCCAGTCTCCGCCCCCAAAACTCCCCGGGGGGCGCCGCGCCCACGCAACCTGACGAAAGAGAGATGCTTATCGGTCAGGGGCTTGGGGGTTTTGGGTGTGTGGTGTTTCGTGGAGTAAAGAAGCTTGAAGGAAGGTTTTTGTTGGGTTTTGGGGTCATGGCAGGTCCGATGGTCGTAGTAGGAGTTTGCGGTCTGGATTGTGTGCGAGGTACAGGGTGGGAACGGTTTGGGGTTTGAGTCTGGGTTCGAAAAGGAGTTTTCTCAAAGGTTTATGGTTTTGCCAAGGGTCCAAGAGGTCTTCAATAAGCAATGTCCCTTAGATTACGGAGGGGTCAGCATGAGGGTGAGCAGACATGATGCTAAGCCTATGTTCCGGCTGCTTCTGGTTCACCGTAAGAAAACAGGGACCGGAAGATATGGGACCCGAATGCAGACCCCCAAGCAAGTACCAGGACCCGAGGGCCGAAACCCAAAAAGCCATCCTAAACCCTCAATCCTCCGACCGTCAAAGCACACAGCACCAGAGACCTCGTCAGGCATGTCCGAGTTGCGAGAGCGTAAAGCCTCAAGAAGCTCACAGTGCCCAGGCTCCGCTGCTCTCAGGCCAGATCTCGCCATGAAGAAAAAGAAATCCCTCGGTAGCAGGGTTTGGTGGATGTAGCGTGCAGGGCTTAGCCTTGGTTCTTTTCCAGGGAGGGGGTCGGTATTGCGGGTTTCGTTTTCCGGGTTTCATTGAGAGTCTCGCAATTGGGTTTTTGGGCTTGTAACTGCAACGTCAAACTTGCCTAATGTTCTTAGTGTAGTGCTTGGTGTTTGCAGTCGTAGTTTTTTGTTGGAAATCTCCTCGGCCCTAGTATGGATAGAACTGCAGCTATGCAGCTGCTGATTTCCAGATTTCCCACGCTGTCATCATTACTGATTGCCGCGACTCATATTCTTGTTGCTTGTCGCATTGTTTCAATGAGTATTGTCGCCGTTGTTGCCACCGATAGGGTTGGTCATGGGTTCCGCTAGTTTTCGTGTTTTTGTCTTTTAGCAGGTGAGCGACATGGTGGTGATTCAGTGGTGATGATGTTCATGGTTGTAGTGATAATGACTGGTGCGCTTTCCCTGTTTATGGCCGTGTTAGACTGCGATTACAGTCACTAGTATTACGAAACTTTAGAGTGTGTCCATCGCGTCAGCAGCAGTCGGGGATGTCAAGCTCTGAGATTCTACAGCTGTAGGTTTTAAGGTTCATGGAGGCAAGCTCGAAACCGGTCAGTTCTGATTCAAACAGGCCGCAGAGCACGGAAATGCCAACGGCCGAAATCCTCGATGTAAACGTCTCAAGCATAGGAGGGGCCGCAACTCTGTAAAGGTATGACGGTATGACTGTCTACGTCTTAGGCCTTCAAGTACCCGAAGCCCCTAACAATTCCATGTCCTCAAGCTTCATCAGCCCCAGTCTAGGCCCAACATATTGATCCTATGTAAGGACTCACCCCAACAAAGGGTCCCAATTCTTACTTCAAATGAACCCTATAAATCCCGATCGAAACTCATCAAGCCCTCATGCAAGCGTTTACAGGCCTGGACAACTAAAAGGCTCTCTTGCTTCTGTACTCATTGATTCCCAGCTCCTGTGCCGGCAGGCAGCGTGCCATATTCTCAGAGGTCTTGATCCCCGATGAGGTCCGGCTCTTGTGCGCAGGGAGATTGGCTTTGTTCACTGGGTTTAGGCTTCGGGGTTTAGGGTTCTCGAGTGCCTGTGGTATCGGTGCTGCGTGTCGGCCTCGGTCAAGATGATTGCAGGTCGTAGTCTGCCCAGACTTGAGCCCAAACTAGGGTTCTGGTGTATGACGAAAAGTCGTTGTTGCTTCCCTTCCCGAAGCCCTGCCGGCCATGTCCGAGGGTGAGCGCCGAAACCCCAAAAGCCGAGACCTCCATCCCAAAAACCCAACCAACCTCCCTACTCCAGTTCTGAAATTTGAAAAACCCTGGAGCCCCAAACGCACAAGAGTGAAGCACCAGAGCATGAATCACCAGACCGCTTGACGTACCTCATGTCCCGAAAGGGGGAGACTGACACTGTTGCCAGAGCCCCTGAGAAGGCCTGAAAAGCTTGAAGCCTGCTGATTTCTTGCAAACAAGGAACAACCCAAAACCCAGAACCCCGAGCCTTGAAGGAAAGCCTTAAATTCGAAATCCGAAAGCCGAGCCGGCCAGGGTCAAAGCAGGGCCCAAAGGCTCGCGGGGCCACCGCGAACACGGGAGGTTCGCTCCACCAGGCAGAGCACCGGCTGATAAAGTCTTTTTAAGTACTTTTGAGGTCAATTGAGCGTTCTACTAGAGAGTCTGGAGGGGTTTCGGGTTGGGAGCTTTATGAGGTTTATAGGGTTGGCATGCAATGACATGTTTCCGAATTATGCGAACCCGCAACACCGGATCCTCTACCCTGACCCCACGCACTCGCAGAACAACCTGACCCCCACCGCTTCTCGAACCCGATAAAGTCCGTACAAAGCCTTACAGCCGTAACATCACTGTATATAGTAACTATGTCCCGGCAACCCCTACACCCCAAACTCTAAATACAGCTAATGGCCAACATCCTGCACTATCTTCAGTACCGTATAGTAACCTGCGTAATTCATTGCACATTCCGTAGTATGGAGAATTCCCCTACGCCCTGACCCCGATATGAAGCACTTGAGATTGTTAAGTATGGATAATGCAGGAGCCAGAAAGCATCCACAGACAAACGGCGATGATCTTGTTTGATTTGCCCCGGATGTGGCATGATATCTCTACTGTGAAGGCACTCAGCCCGAAGCACCCCCAACCTGAAACTGTTGCTGCACCGTAGTTCCGTGCTGCCTCGCAGGCTCTTTCCTGAACTCTGAAGCTTCAAGACAAGGCCTCAACCCCCAAGCCGAACACACCCCAGACCCAAGACAAAAAGCCTCGTCGGCACGAAGATCTCTAGCACATGATTCAGGGCTTTTCAGTTCTTGACCCGGCAAACTTGTAAATGAGCCTCAACACGTTGATAGAACCATATACTAGAGTCCCAGCGCTGGGAGTTGCTGTAGAAGATACCGCCTGTTTCGAGCCGTTGGGCACCAAGCCCTGATCCCTCTACGGCAAGTACATATTCTGAGCTGTATACTCTGTCTAGACTTCACCCAAGCCAGGGAGGCACGCCCCCTTAGCGCCGGCAGCTACTCGCAACGGAAGCGCGTTGCGGGCATGCCGCGCTTTGCCCGCAGTTAGTGTTGAAACGCCCGCTTCGCAACGAACCTTAAATTAAATCTGAGCCAGCCGTAAACCATTTTGACCCTGACCTGCATCGCTTCGGGGCCTTTCTGAGGGCTGGGGCTGATTGAAGCAAGCTTGAGGGTTGGTCATCTATGCTTTGCAAGAAACTCGAGGGGATCGTCCCGGGTTTCCAAAAGAGTTGAGTTCGCAGTGTGGTGGACTGGCGGCCGGTGGAGTCCAAGATCTTGCACCAATCCCGTTAGTGGGGAGGGCTCTACTAGTGCCACTGGAGGCTTTTCGTAGTCTCTCTACCAGAAGCCGAGACCTGCGCCCATGCATATGAATATATATATATATACACATACTTGTGTATATATATATATATATATATATATACATACATACATATACACATACATAAATGCGTACGTACATACGTGCGAACGAATAGATACATGTGTGTAACATATACAAATGTGTACATTTGTATATATCGAGAGAGAGAGAGAGAGAGAGAGAGAGAGAGAGAGAGAGAGGGAGAGCGGAGACAGATATGAAGACAGACATGAAGGTAGAGATGGAGAGAGAGCTGATGGATGGCTGTATTTTTTGCACATGAGTCTAGATAGGCATGTATATGCACAATCTTATGCTCATGCTGCTCACTAAGTCAGGCTCACTCATGTTGTTACTGTACTTCCGCACGTTCCTCGAATGCCCGATCGTCCACTGAAACTTTAAGCTCCACTCTCACACCCGAAATTAGCGCTCAAAGTGTTCCTCCCAGACGCATTAAGAGACCCAGAGAACTAGAACAACCCATTGAGCATCCTACCTGGGCCGTTCTCAAGGCCACTCCTTTTCGGAAGAACCCCTAAAGTCCTTGAGTCCGAAAAAGAACCCGAAGCCGTAAGCTCTGACAAAAGTGCTCGGTTCGTCACTTCGAGGCTTCTGAAAGCTTCCGAGCCGCTGCATCCGAGCATGGAGCCCAAGGCAAGGGTACAAAAACAGACAACCAATACTTCCACCGGCAGCCTCTCATGACAAGAAGTGTAACACTAGTGACTTGCCACTAGTGGTAGCAATGCTGGGTACACCGTTAGCACTGGTATTGCTCGTTATGTTGCTGATAGCCAATGACAGTGAGACTAACGGTAGTAAGACGTGCAACAGGAGCGTTTTGATACTCAGGCCCGGGGGGCGCGAATTTTGCTGCCGTTTTTCACTGCTACTGGTTTTGCTGTTTACCGATGTTTTTGCTGGATTTTGTGGCCATTATCGTTCTTGAATTGTGGTGATAAGTAATGTTGTTTGCGGTGACGGACGCTACCAGAACCGGTATGACTTTCTTGCTGTGGTTTCCAGTTTTGGTTGATTTCATTGTTGTCAGGGTTGTGGTTCTTGGAGGCCTGGGGGTGGGCCTGGGGAATTAGAAAGCCTGCATGCCAGAACCCTGAACCTTGAACCTGGTAAAGAATCTGCGCAAGACCTGTCTACACATTCTGGGTGCCTCTGCAGGGGCCAAAGCCCCTACCATCTAAACCCCTAAGTGCCACTCTCCAAACCCGAATCCTAAAACCCTTATGCCCAAACCCTGTGCACAACCCTCAGCGATGGCAAGGCATATACTGACCCGTAAATGCCCTACAATATCCTTGCTGTAACCCTTATAGCAATCCAAAGTGCTCATGCACCTAAACCTTGTCATGGTCTTCGGTGTGTGATGTCGAAGTACTTTGATCAGTGGCTTCGTTTGTTGACTATTAGTTGGAGTGTGGCGCGTCTGTGCCCCTCTGTTTTCCTTCACTTCAGGGCTTTTTGACTCGGTATTTGCGAGGGTTTCGGCTTTCAAGGTCTTCGGATTTTCAGGGATCATTTGGGCCTTTCGGAAATTCGGCTTTTTCCGAGACACCAGTTTTTGCATTAGGGGGGATAACCTTGCTCTTGTGACTGCGGGGGCGGGTGGGGGGGGGGAGGGGGGGAAGGCTAATAACGTTCTGTGTTTAGCGTTCTTGGCTTCAGGCTTGTTTCAGGATATACTTTCCATGAGTCCATGGTTGTCCGTCGCCCTGGCATCTCTCCTGGTTCTGCGCCCTAAAGACTTTGTCATGTCAGCAGCTCTGGTAGCCACAACAACTGCCATATAATGCAGTGAGATTTAGCAACGGCGACTACCAAGAGTGCAGCAAAAACAACTGCAATGTGCGAAACCAACAGTAACTTTAGAACCGAACCTAAACTAATATTTTTGTTCCCAGGCCCCTCTCCAAGCCTACATGCATAATCTATCGCGTTTACCAGTGTTTTCATGCTATGACACTCAGAATCCATCAGGGGCGCACATGCGCCACGCACCTATTAGTTGGTTTGTTTCTTATCCGTTTCTGCTGTGAATCTGTGCCCGCCTTGGGCGAGTGTGCGAATCGAAAACCACAGCCTCAAATCAGGCCCTTGCAAGCCACGCAGTTGCAAACCCCAACAAGGCCCTCGCAGAACCTTTGATTCATTTAGGTGATGGGGCCTCGGTGGGCGACTCGACTCGACCCCAACTTCAACCCTGCACCATTATAGAAAGCCTCTGTTCAAACCTCAGAGAGGCCGCTCTCAGACTCGCGGACCCATACCGGAACCCGAAACCGCATAGGTGATGGAGTCTTACCGAACCTTCGCCGGGCGTTGCCCTCGCCGCCTGCGCATCGAGCGACTACGGAAGAAGAGACTCGGACAAGGTAATTGGATAGAGTTGGAGGAACTTAAGAAGACAATGTGCCTATAAGCCTTTATAGCTGTTATGCAAGTCTGCGCAGCTTGCATATAGTGCTTTTCATCCCCGAAGGCTTCGAAAGTAGTTCCTTTCGAGGGTTCTCCGGTATAGGAATTGGAGCCGTGCACGTAGACTGTTCACGGTTGAGAGGGTTTAGGTCTGGTTAGCCTTGGGTCCAGTAGGGTGTAGAGCTTTGCATTCAGGGTCAACTCGAACTTCAGGGTTGTGTTTCCGGTGTTGGAGTTTGAGTTTAAGGCTCACTGATCCCAGTTTGGCTTGCAGTTATATGGGTTAAGGGCTTGAGGTGTAGGGCTGGGAATTGATAGCTTCATTTGGGTTGTTTAGGATCTTGTCATTGAGACTCTTGCCGTCCGCGGGCCTAGAGCTTCAAAGAGTTTGGCGGTATGGGTTTAGAGTAACAGGATTTTTCGTCTTCGAACTTCAGGAGAGTAGGAACTCCGGCCCAGGGGCCTCAAGCCGAACATCCTTCCACCCTGAAGCCCTTCAGCTCTAAACTCTCGGGGCGCCTCAAGGCCCGAGGCCTTGAAGCGCCGAAAAGCCCGAGTTCCCGGAAGAGGCCCCCACCCTCCGAAACCATGGAAAGCCTAAGCCGGAAGATTTGAGAGCGCTCAGGTACGCATCCCTGGCTGCGCGGCTGGCAAATGGGGGAGAAACCTCGGCCCTCCCTCCCCCTCCTAAACCTCAAAGTATCAATGTTGGATCCCTTCAGCAGGTCTGGGGAGGTGTTGGTAGAGTTAGTGGGGTAATTCCGGCTGTCAGGCACTTCCTCGAGGGGCTGTATCTGAAACCCTACGGCTACGGACTAAGGAGTTCAAGCCCTCAAAGGTCCAAAGGCCGAAAGCTTAAATGCCAGACAGTGAAAAGACCCCGAAGCCTGAACGCCGTAGCACCGGTCAGGATGTGCAGAAGCTGCTGGTTGAGCGGGACGTGGACGTCTCTCAACCCTGGTACGAAGACAAGAGCCTTAGACGTGAAGTTTGCACAACTTTGCAACCTGTTTTTTGGAGGTTTCTTCTACACCCTAAATTCTACACCGTTGACCCTAGATCCTAAAACGTGAAACCCTTATATAACCCGAAAACAAGTGAAACCGGAATTTTTCTGCATTCTGTTGGCTTGTGAAATGGACCACGAAGGAGCCCTCTTCCGCTGGAGGCTGCGGACTCATTATTAGGGTTTAGGGCATCTGCTGGCCGTAGGTTTCGGCCGAAATCAGTTCGTGCTTAGGATGTCGGACGGGTTTCATTCGGCGTTTATAGTTTCGAGGACTTTGGGGTGTCTTTTTGCGGCAGAGATGATGAAAGAACACTGTGCTGTTGACCGTGGATTTTTCTCGTACTGGCCACCATGATCTTAGTCCAGTAGCTTTCGAGGCCTTCGACGACACGGAGTACGACCTGCGTACGCCGGAGGAGTGGATGGACTTCTGCCGCTGTGCTGGAGTAGGTCTTATACTGTGTGATGGAAAACGAGGGGGATTCAGGGTTGAGGCTAAGTCACCCCAAAACTCGGCAAGACCCTGTAGAAGCAAAAATGACGACCTTATCCTTCCCTTCTTGGAACCCTTTACGGAAACCTTGTAAACTCCTTGTTAAGAACCCTGAAGAACGCGTATAGATTCTTGAAGGACACGCTGCAAGCTGACCCTACAACCCTGCAGCCCGAATCCCTTTTAGGTCCCTAGCTTGCAGAACCGTTATCTATCGGGAACCCTCACAGGAACCCTTTTACCCTTGTAAGGTCACGATCCCAGCGGCCAATTCAAGCCTCTGCCTGCCTTGGCGCTCTGGCGCGACCCGGACAGCGGCGCGGGCTACTGGCGGAGAGCTCCTCGGAGCCTTTTGTGCCATTCTTGTTATTTGTCACCCTTGTTGCTATAGTTTTGTGTTGTTGGTACTATTATTTGCGACTATTGCGAACATCGGTAGGGCATCAGGCTTTCGTTCTGGGATTTGTATGGTTTTTGAACTTAGGGCTCGGGCTTTGAGGGATGAGTGTTGGCAGCGATTAAGAAGCAGCAAGCCACCCATGATCAGGAAATCGCACGAGGTTGGTCCGCGGGGCATGAAGCATTGCCTCCCTCCCGCACTCGACCACTTACAAGTTCTACTCGTCCTTACGTATAATTCCGTGAGGTACTTGCAAAATCAAACCCAAGAGCTTCTTCGAAACCCAACACCGTAAACCCTGAACCGCTGCCATGTGGGCAGTCGGTTCTGCAGATCCAAAAGGTCCTCAAGCCCCAAAACCCAAACCTCTGATCCCGGTATCCTGTAGCCAGGCTATGGTTCTGCATTACCACGGCGCCGTGAAGAAGTTCGAGATCCAGTACGAGGATGTCCCTAAACCTTAATCCCCAAGCCCCTAAACCCGTAAACCCAAAAACCTAAACCCCTACAACCTAAAACCTAAGGTGCGTGAAGGGGCCTTTGTCCGTATGCCGGGGTGTTCAGAATGTATGGGTCGGATTCTGGGTCAAAGCGTCGTCCCCGTACGATCATTTTATCATAAACACCCAAACCCTGGACTAGTTCTTAAGGCCATACCTCTACGGATTTAGGATGTTGGAGAGTCTACGATGCTTGCCTTGTTGCGCCTTGGTAAGCATATGGCTTCACCAGGTTTATATAAGGTTTATTTGGGGTCTATGAGTTAATAAGGACTCCTCAAACGGTCTAGACAGGGTGGGGGTTTTGGAAGGGTTGTATATTGCAGCGCTATTGAAGTACTTTGTCGAAATTCGATCGCTGGTCTTTCACATCTTTATCCCTTCAAGGGTTTAGGGTTTAGGGACTCCAGAGACCTTGCTAAAACTTTGAGGACTTCGAGCATTGCGGGAGCACGATTTCCACTTGAAAACACGCCTCAATACTCACGGGACTTTGGTGGCAGGAGGGTGATTCATGAATCCCAAGTTGCAGCCGTTGCAATGTGTCGCCAATGCCCGGCTGCAGCGGGATCGCGGAAAGCACGCGATTTTGCTTAAGAGCGCACTGCGCCACATCACTGCAGGAGCCGCGGAAGCTGCGGGCGAGTGTTACCGCAATGCTCGAAAAAACCACAATACCCGATACCCGTAGATCAACTTTGAAATCTCGTGTAACCCCTCAACTTAGAAGCCGCCCGTTTTTGCTTACAAGCCTTCAAGAACCCTTTTGAGAAACGCATTTTTTCCTCAGCAACATTCCGTATAAAGAAGGACCCAGAGCCGGTCGGAAATGGCGGCCGCCGCGGTATGGTCGACCACCTCCCACGCCGCTGGGACTTTTGGGGGGTTCCCTTAAAGGCCTGAAGGTTTCGGTTCCGGGAGAAGGGGCCTATATAAGCCTGCTTATGTGTAGCCACAGGGAGTTGGCCCGGATCCGGAGCCCTAAACCTCCGAGGTCCGAAACCCGTGGACCCCCAACAACCGACCTTGTTGAAGGCTTTTATGCGGAAGTCGCAGAAGGGGATTTTTTCAACAACGAATTTTGACAAGGTAAGCCGGTAATCCCAGAAACCTAAACCCCTCTCAGCGATGAACCCCCCCAAACCCCCCGCGCCCCTAAAGCCTAATCGGCCTCCTCATACCCCAGGGCTACGCGTCATGTTTCGGGGCGAGGATCCAGAGGCCGGTCCGGAGCTTTTCTCTTTCGTTGACGGGTTCCTACAAGGGCACTAAAATTAATAAAACAAGGTTCCTGTAAGCAGTGCTAGAAGGGAGCGTGGAAGAGGAGGGTTCGCCTGCTTCCACCACCACGACTTTCTGGCCCATGCTTATGTTCCTAATGGTGACGATCTTGATGGCAAACATGTCTGTCGTTCTCCTTGTCGCTGCTGCGCTGTGTCGCTGCATGTGCAGGTCTTCGCCAACCGCGTGGAACATGCGTACAAGTCGCGGCCTTGGTGCTTCCTTTACCGGGCCCCCCCCAAGGTAAATAAGTATGAAGCTTTCGTCGAGATCACACGGATGCCTTCTTTCGCAAGGTCCCGGCGGCGAGCCGAGCTTCTCTTGAGACCCTCGTCAAAAATGGGACGGTGCTTTTGGAGTTTTAAGGCCTTACGGCTAGCCTTATGTCCTCAAGTCATTCAGCACGTCCGAGGATACAACTTCTTTGTCGACAACATGCCGATGCTGGGTTTACATTGGCAACAGCTTTTCCGTGAGGTGGCTCGTGTGTCTGATTCCTTTGGACCCCACATCCCCGCAAGGCACAAGCCAAGCAGTTTCTCCATGCCCTAGAGTAGACCCCGAACCCCAAAGCCCTAAAGTCTAAACCTAAGCCGTGTTCGGAGTGGATCTCTGCGGTCGCGACACAATTGCTCAAAAGAAAGCCGTCCTTATGGAACCCCATAAGCCCTTCACCCCAAACCAGTGCCAAGGACGGACGACGTGCAGCAGCTGAGCACCGATCAAATCGCGTGGCTGAAAGACGCGGCGGCTTGGACGCCAGCGAGGTTTAAATAGGATTCGGTTCTCAGGCCGTGTGTCAAGAAGACGAAAGTAATTATGATCGAACTTCCTTCGAATGCTGCAGTCAGTGTGGACGATAAGATCTTCATCATACGCGCCGTCATTACCATCAGCAACACTGCTACGTAGACGCCGCCGCCACCACCATCGGCTATTGCTATGTAAGCATCATCGTCGACCTTTTTGTCGCTTTCATCGCCCATGTTGGCTACTACGGGTTCAACTGTTGGATCGTGATTGCAAAACTTTCGTCGTCGTCGTCGCCGGCGTCGTTGCTGTCGTCTTTATCGTCACCGGCCTCGTCGTCGTCCTCGTCCCTGTCCCCGTCTGGCACGACTCGTTTGCTGAGTGCCGAGACCACCACGTGCGGACCAGAGACTTCCAACACCGAGTGGGACTTCATCGTCCAGGAGGCACCGCCGGATCTAAAAATCCCTAAGCCTTCTAGATCCGAATCTACTTCCTCGACAGCTACGAAGCGCCGCGAATAGCTCCGCTTCCCTTGCTATGTCTGCAGGCGCCAAAATCCATCTCCCCACCAAAATTTCTAGCGCCCTCAGCCCAATCGCGTTCATCTTTAAGCCTTACACCCTAGAAGTTCTGAAGGTCCTATAAAACCAACGCCCCGAGCCTTCATACACGGAGTCAGCCTTCCAATCTAAGAAGCCCTCTCACTGTAAAGAGGGAGCTTTGGGTTGGGGCTTTGTGGTTTGGATGGCTTGTCGTGGCTCGAATTTTGGCCGCAGAGACAGACTATCGGCTACAGGCCGGGCCCAAACCAGGGGCAAGAAGATCAGCAAGGAAGGGTCAGGGTTTGCTTATGCGCTGTCTAGCAACTAGGTCTTCTTGAATCTGTGGTCGCTGCTTCTGGAGAGCCTCGGGGGGGGGGCGGGGGGGTTCTGATGAAGAGCGCAGGTGCAGTTGGACTTTGGCCGAGCAATGTCGCTTGTCGGCCTTCTTCGGGTTGAAGCTGTTTGCATCTGCTTTGTAGGGCTTCGGTACCAAAGCTCCAGGTCCCAAAAGCTCTAAGTTCCAAAGGCCTGAAAGACCCGAGCCCCCAAGGCCCCCAAGTTGCCTGGTGGACGTAGTGTCTGGGATCTAAATCTAGGGCTGAGCGTCGCCGGGATGGGGTCGCCGTCAAGTTCCCACCACTTCTCAAAGGCACCCGAAAATCGAAGCGGAAGCTTCCACGCATGGCGTAGGTTTCGGCTTGAGATTTGCGTGGCAGTGCGGACCTTCCCACGTAAGGGGGGTCTTCGGATATTGGCTTCAACACGGTTTGGATCAGACTTCAGGATTTAGGGCATAAAGGTTCAAGGTCAGCGTGGACCGAACACCCGAACCACGGAGCGTGCAAACCAGCGAGCCCTGAAGTCCAAGCCATATTTGGGCCCAGACCCTACTGAAGGGCTCCGAATAATTGGTACTATTAGTCCCCTGTAGTCTTTGGTATAAGTATAAGTATAATTTGTCTCACCACCAAAACCCTACCTTAAGTGTTGAAGGTCCCTACATCAAGCCCAAAGCCTAGCTGAAAGCTACACCCAGCCGCAGAAAATTAGGAACAGAATCACCTTCGACACGCACTTGCTGGAGGTGGCTCGTTTAGCGCTGATCATCTGGATGGTTGTGGTTTGGCTTGCTTTGGGTTTTGGGGGGTGTGAGGGCGTCTGATAATAGCCCCCGGTAGTCCCTTCATAAAGAGAGTATGCCGTTCGCCAAAACCTGGTGGTTGTTCAGCTTTCGAGTTTAGAGCCCTTGAGGATTAAGGTCTTGTCGGAGGACTCGGGAACATGTCTTTACAGGGTTCAGAATTAGCCAATAAACGTTGCGATGTGGAGAGATGTTCTGTGCAGATAGCATGCCCTCTCCCCGGTATGCTTTGTTTAGCCTTGCCTAGCATAGCCACGCCTGGGGTCGTACACCCTACTACCTGCGCTTCCAAACCCAAAGCACACACGGCAATCCGCATATCGGCACTGAGCAAGGCCAAGGATGGCACAGCGAGTTTGACTTAGGGTTCGAGATGTCAGACCTGCTGTACTCAGAACCTTTCACTGGCCAGACTCGAAACCCACCCAAAGCCCCCGGAAAAGCCTCTGCGCTCTCTGACGAGGAGGACGCGAAGAAGTCCGATCCGCTTCAGGCAGGTTTGTTTTGCCTGGGATTCCGGGTGTAGGGTCCCCTCTTCGTTCAAAAGAAGCCGGTGAGCATTAGTATTGGAATATTCGATGAACTTGTGCCCTGCGGCATGGCGCTTCCTGTTCTGACGGCGAGAGGGCAACTTACTCCTGAAGTGCCCAAAGCTAAGACCCTCCTGAAGTGTCCGGCCTTTCAGAGTTTCAGCTCTCTCGGCCTTCGGTTTAGGTTTGGGGATTCGAGATTGGGGGTTTAGGGAGCAGGGTTTACGGCATACACTCCAAGTCCGTGCTTAAAACAGGGAGCAGGGTTTAGGGATTCGACCTTCAAGCCCGGTAGCAAGAAAAAGGGTTTAAGGGTTAGGGTTGAGGGATTAGGGTTTAGGGCCTAAGTTTAGTGGCCTTGAGTGCGTTAGGCTGCTGCCCCCACCCTGCGTCCGCAGTGTCTCGCTATTTTGGGAGGATTACATCCTCTTCGAGGTACTGTCCTCGCACCTGTTTCCTCGAGAGTTGCCACTCTTGCTGTTGTTTCCGGCCTGACAATCCAGACTTTGGGCAGTCGGGGAAGAGGACTCTGTCCGTCTGCCGATCTATCCGTCTGCCGATCTATCTATTTATCCATCTATCTTTAAGCTCTGGAAAGTAGGCTCCTCGTTAGCTTCGCATGACCGGCCGATCAAGCTTCCGATGTTTTCAGCCTCGCCACCATCCCGAAGTTGAGTCGAAGAGCCGGCGAAGTCCCAGAGCTCCGAAAGCTCGGGCACCCAGAAGCCTCAAGCGGCCTCCGGAGGAGCTCCTGCGCCCCGTGGCGGCGCCTTGCTCTGTTTTTTTTTTTTTTTGAGGGTTTCCCTAGGGTTTGGGGACGCAGGTTGAAGGCCCCTAAACTTCAAAGGTGCCCACCTCAGCCAGTGACTCAAGAAAGGGTTCGGGGCCGCAGGTTTGGGGTGGTTTTGTTGTGAATTGTGCTTGTGGTGACTGAGGGGCCTGATTGAAGATGTTTTTGAACTTCAGATTTCCGAGTTGTGATTTATTGCTCGCACAACTTGTCTTTGACGAGCGGCTCAGGGTCCATGTTCTAGGTTTAGTATTTCTTGTTTCGGGGGTCAGGGTCCGCATGCAACAAGCCGCAAAACCCCAGACTTGCTTCCAAAAGCGGTGTACGGCTTTGTGGCCTTGGTCTTTTCTTGGACGGAGGCCGCGAAGCTGTAGAATTCTCAGTGCCTCCCCAGAGGTTCGATTAATGGAGGAGGGACTGTGATCACGGTTCCTGTTAAGGGGATCTGAACTGAAAGAGATTTTTGAGGGGAACAGGTATTATGAACACCTGCCATGTCGCTCACTGATGGTTTCGTTCGGCCAGGGACGTTAAATGGAGGAGTCCAGGCATGTACTTTCATGTTCAGTGCGAAAACGAACGCTGCCAGCTTGTGGGTCAAGACAGCCCATGCGAGAGGTCGTTGCTGCTGCTTCGACCGGTAGCCTCTCAGGTTTGATTCTGGGGGCTCTTGTGCAGGCTTTGCAAAGCCCGGCTGTGGCCCCTGCTGTGCCCCTAAACTTAGGAGCGTCCCTTGAGCCATTGTGCCCGCTGCCTGCTGCTGGCTTTGAACTGCTAGAGCTGCCTGACAGTAAATCGTTCTGGCTGGGGCTGCTCTGCGGGCTAGCGCTAGGCCCTCTCATTGACATCCTTTACGGGCTGCGGCTTTGGTGGCGACAAGTCACCTACAGGTGGTGGGCCGGGCTGAGTCGGTCATCTGTTCCCTTCCCGCTTTACCGTGTGCATGAGTCTTGAAGTCGCTGAGCTCCGAGCTGAGTTGGCGGCGCTGAGGGCTGAGGTTGCAAGGCTCTCTGCTGTTGTGGCACGGCAAGGCGAGGCTTTGAACGAGCTCCAGTACCTCACTTCCTTTGAGGTGGTTAAACCCGAGGAGACCGACACGAGTGAGCGAGCTCCTCTCAAATTGGGCGAGAATCGTGCTGAGGGCGAGGCTGTCAGCTCCGCCAGTGGAGAGCTCTCTGATTGGGCTCATCGGATCCAGGTTGCTAAGGAAGTCGGCCAGTTCTTGCGAGCGGGGCTGGACGGCAGGACCATTACGTCGGGGCGATCTAAGGTGGCCTTGAAGAACAACATCTATATCCTTGCCCGGGACAAGGACGGGAAAGACTACGTCAGGCCGGCCCGGGTGTTTCGGAGTTGGCGAGGCATTCGCCCTTTCGTTGAGCATCAGGGCAGGACTGAGGGTCGGCTCGGAGCATCTGTGTTCATTGGGCTGCCTTCGCAGAGAGAGGCAGTCGTTGCTGTGAGTGAGGCTGGGCTTGAGTGGCCTAGCCAGATCGAACCATGAGCGACGCCAGTGATCAGGAAGGCGAGCCGGTCGGGGTCCGGGATCGGCTCGTGTTCAAATCAGGCCGGACTGAATTGGATTATCAGATTGGTGTGGTTCCATGCGCCGCCGCGGGGACCACATCAGCCATCATCTGCATTGCCGAGTTGGGTGGCAGGCTCATTGTAGCGGTGCCCCAAGAAGCCTGGCACAGGACAGTTGTGAAACGGATGCTCCCGAGCACGGCGCTCGGAAAGGCTCTGAGTGTAGAGGTTGTGGGGGCCCTCCCACAGAATATGAGCGAACCTCTGCCCGAGTTCACTTTGAAGCTGTGGGTCGGGGTGGTGAGTATGGAAGTGGAAGGGCTCATCGAGTTCGGGGGCGAGGGCGACGCAGCGGCTCCTTCAATTGGGTTCGGCCGAGTTCTCCCTTATGCGGAAGCCCTCGTGAAAGTGGCGGACGACCAGTTTGCCTTCACCAGTGCGGAGTCCGGCGGTGGCGGCGACGGCATCTTCAAGAGGATGTCAGCGGTCGAGGCGGGCCTCTTAGAGCTGAAGGGCTTGATTCAGGACCTTGGGAAGGAGAAGGTTGCCGAGGAGCACCCGAGGAAGGCGAAGCCGAAGGTCGCGCCAACGCCCAGGCGAGGGATCATTTCAGGTCTGGATCCGGGGACCGTGGCCGCCGCCCGGGCTGCTGGAGTCGACGAGGAGTCCCTGGAGGAGATGGGAAAGTTGCTGGGCACAAAGCGGAATCGGAGGCTCGACGAGCCTGGGTCTGCGCTGCAGCCGGGGCGCTCTTCATGGGAAGGGGAGCTCAACGAGATCGACGGGGAGGAAGAAGCCTTGGAACAAGGACCTCCTTTGGGCGATGCTGGCGATGGGTCCCATGTCGAGGCAGCCGTGGTCCAGCTCACCAAGATAGTCAGCAGCTTGGCACAGTCGTCCCGCCGTTAGAGAGCATTCTGGATTCAGGAGCCGCAAGTGGATCGGGAGAGAGTCAGGCCATAGGTTCCGGGAGAAAGAATGCAGCCGCCTTGCGGCAACTCACCAGGCTCTACGAGGAAAACCCTCGCACGATCTACGAGGCTTTGGAAAAGCAGCTGCAGAACGACTTCCAGGTGAGCCCACCTCGACCAGGAGTACCTCATCCGGCAGATGCAGGCTTCACGGCGAGGGGGTGGTTAGCGACGAGGTCGAGGCTGCAGAATTTCCAGAGCCATGTCCGGTGGAGTTGGTGTATGGCGGGAGTCTGGGACGACCTGCGGCAAGGCAATCACGAGCGGGCGAGAGCACGAGCCGCTTTGATGACAGCGGCCGCGGACCAAGCTTCGATCGATGGGGGGTCGTGGCTCATGTCCACGGTCTCTCTCCTGGAGCCGGTCCCTCCTTATCAGGATTTCGCCCGCCACACTGCGCCCACCGCAACCGAAAGCCAGGTGTCTGCTCTCTACGATGTGAGGTGGGCCGACATCTTCTTGGGGGTGCTTCGCGAGCGAGACCTGTACAGCGACATGAAGAAGAAGCTCCAGACCGGGAGGAAGGACAACGCCATCAAGGACAAGGACCAGCAGCAGAACCAGGACGATGTACCGCCGAAAGGCGGAGGCCGCGGCAGAGGGGGCAAAGGCCGAGAAGGCAGTGGCTCCCAGGACGGGGCAAAGCAGTGAGCAGCACGAACGGCGCGGAGGATGTGGCCCCTTTTGATTCTCCTCCGTTGCCGCCTTTTGTTGGGCCTCGATCTACAACTTCTGCTTCAGGGGGAGCCGTGGGAAAGGAGTATGCCGGGAAGCTGGATGCAGGCCGACCTGCTGACGGGCACGCTGGTGTACCCCCTCTTCGGCACGTTCCTGGCACTGGGGCGGAAGCTGTTAATCCTTTGTCGGTTTTTCGTACAGTGGTTGCCGAGCTCTTTTGTGGGAGAAGCGACCTAGCCACTTTCTCCAGGAGCTGCTTACGTACAGCCTGCTCGCAGTATCACTGCGGCGCCTTTTATCAGTCGGTGCCAGGCCAAAGTTGGCCGATGCCCGTCCCCTATGGCCAGGTGCTTCGACTACGGCCTGGTGATGTGAACGAGGGCGAGCTTAAGAAGTTCGTCGTCAATGCCATTGTCATTGTCCTCAACTTTTTGGATTTGGGACGGCCTTGCCGAGCACCTGACGCTTGCCTTGCCGGCCGTGAGCTGCAAGCGGGGCAATGGGAACAAGTTCGACGCATTGAGAGTTTCCTCGATGCCTGGTTTGGGCTGGGCATCCTCGATCCGGAGGACTTGGGGCGCACCGCTGGGAAGCTCGAGGACCTAGAAAAGGCCGTGGCTGAGCTTCGCACTTTTTCTCCGCATGCATGCGCTGAGCTCCGAAAGCGAGCCGAAAGTAGCCCAGTCGGGTTGATGAAAACACACCACGCTGGAACATTCAAGGAGATCGAAGCGGACAGGCTGCAATTTAGGGGAACCCCCGATTTTGATCCTAGGGCTTATCTCGATGAGACCTCCCAGCAGATCTACAGCAGACCATTTTCGACTTCATTGCATCCTTCCGAGTTCGAGGGAAAGATTCCCCGAGTGCGTGTCCATTGCAATCGGCATGAACGCTTAAGGCTCTTCACTTTGCTGGACAAAAGCCACAGAATCAGATTGTTTCGTCGCTATCAAGTCAGGCCTCAGTTCGGGGCAGGTGTCTTCGCCGTGTTGAAGTCTCTCGAGCTTGATAGGCTTATTCTGGATAGCAGACCGCATAACATGTTGGAAGAGCCACCCGGACGTTTCATCAGGACTTTGGGCAGTGGGGAGCTCATCACAAAAATCCTCCTGCTTCCTGATGAAGGCCTGTACGCCTCAACAAATGACATTCGCGACTTTTACCATCTGTTCCGGGTATCGGCCGAGCGTGCTAGGAGGAATTGCTTCGTGGGCATCGTGCGACCGGGGGAAGTCCGAGATCTCAACTGTTTCGAGGCTTGGATGCACAAAGAGAGCGAGTTGTATGTCTGTCTGAACTGCCTGGCCATGGGCGACACGCAAGCGGTGGAGTTAGCTCAGTCGTGCCATTTGGGATTATGTCTCCAAAACGAAATCATCGACGAGAGCACCTTACTTGCGATGTGTTTGCCTATTCCTCGAAAGCCAACCTTCAGTGGGATCGTGATTGATGACTTTGTGTCCCTGAGCAAAGGCAAGCTTCAGAAGTTTGATCACGGAAATGTGGTGTCGGCTACCGCCGGGGCGATCTTAGCTGACAAGGTGCAGGGTGTGTATGAAGATGTTCACCTGATTCCCCATCAAGCAAAGGCCACACGAGACCAACTTGAAGCCGAATTTTGGGGAGCTCAGGTAGACGGACGGCGAGGGTGTGTACGCGCATCATTGAAGCGGGCTGCACCTTTGCTAAAGATCATCAGCTTAATCTTGCAGCTCGGTGTCGCCAGTGTGAGCCTGCTAGAAATCATCGCTGGTGGAGTCATTGCCTTGTTCACTTTCAGGCGACGGCTCATGAGTCTCATGAGCGAGATTTTCGAGGTGATGAAGGGGAAGCCCCAGCAGGCTGTGATTGTGATCGGCACAAAACTTCGTGAAGAACTACTGTTGATCTCCCTCTTAATCCCCACAGCAGTCACGGATATGAGAGCGGATTTTTGCCCCGAGGTTTTCGCTGTGGATGCTTCGGACTGGGGCGATGCAGTGTGCTCGAGTCGCGTACCTGTTCGCTTGGCACGAGAGCTAGGGCGACTGTTTGTCAAAGGGAGTTTGGACGCGACTTCTCAGCCCTTTCAAAGCCCGAGCTCGAGGACATGGCGTCCTGGATCCCAACGAGGAACTCCCGGGCGGCGCCGAGGACAGCTTCAGGACTCACCCGTTGTGGAGTTTGCTGGCAACTGCCCTGAAGTTTAGAGTGCGTTGGAAGCGAGCATCAAAGAGGCGGCGACACATAAACATAGGTGAGCTACGAAGTTTCTTGAAAGCCGAAAGATGTGGGATGCAGGCCGGGAAGTCGAGTCGCATGCTGATTGGCGGGGACTCTCAAGTGGCATTAGGTGCCCTTCTGAAAGGCCGCTCATCTTCTGCTTCTCTCAATCGTGAACTTGAAAAATCGCTGCCATATTACATCGGGAAAGGTCTCCAGCCGCATTACATGTACTACCCGACATCCATCAATCCCTCCGACGCTCCCACCAGAGGCCGTGAAATACCTGAGCCCACTGAGGAGTTGCCATCGTGGTGGCATTTGGCCTGTGAGGGCAAGTTCGAGGAGATGGACAGATGGCTAGAGGCCAGATCGGCGGATCCTTTCTCGCTGTCTGGTCTTCCAAGTCTAGACGAGCTTCGAAAAACGTGTGCAAGCGAAGTGAAAGTGCAACTCAGGTTTGGCCACCTCCGCAAGTTCAAGAAGCTTCGCGAACTTTTGCAGGAGGGCAAGCAGCTTGGCGAAGGTGCAGGTGTTGCTTTCGGGTCTTCAGTTTCCCCTTTCCCTTCGAGTACCGTCGTGGAGAGCAGCCTTTCTCCTTTCGCCTCGACGGGTACGTTTGTCTGGCCCAAAGGTGTGGACAAGCAGCAGTGCAAAGAGCTACCAGGCTGCATCGACTTGTGCTCTGGAAACATGGGGCTATGCGAGAGAGTTAGCAAGACTTACTGGGAGGTGGGTCTTGTGTTTTGATGTTGCGCACAACAAGGCTCAAGACCTTGTGATGGACGAGGTCCAGAACGAGATTCGTGGCATTTTGCAGAGTGGGCGAGTTGCTGCACTGAGCGCTTCACCTGGAAGCGGAAGTTTCTCTTTGGCTTCTTCGTCAGGTTGCAGGACCGCAGGGCACCCCTTAGGAGCACCGGGGCTTGGTCCTGCGCAGAGCGCTAGAGTCATTAGAGAGAACAAACTCGTCGAGTTTCTCCTTGAGTTGTGCTGGTGGTGCTACAAAAACTCCGTGCCTTTTTGGCTTGAGAACCCTCAAGGGTCGAAGGTGTGGCAGCTCGAGCCGGTCCGGCAACTTCAAGCTTGTCCCGGGGTAGGTTTCTGGAGAGTCGACTACTGCGCCTTTGGGGCGCCCTGGAAGAAGAGAACTCGAGTGTTGACATCGACTCACCTTGCCGGGCAAGAAACTACTTGTCCGGGCTGCTCCGTACACCACCGACTTCGAGGGCGCTCTCCACACAACCGGTTGTCCTGGATAAAGTTAGCGGAGAACTTCCCTAAAGGCTTGAGTTTAGTGCTGGCCATGTCTGTAGCCGGTGCACTGGGAGACAGACCTGAGTTCAAGCGGCTTGACGCCTGCAGCTGTTCAAGGTCACTTGGACTTCGTGTTGGCGAAGCTAGCCACCCAGGACCTCGGAGAACGACTGCCGAAACCAGGGCTACTCAACGAGCGGGGCAAAGCCTAGGTCAAGTGGCTCTTGTTGAACCGCAGACGCAAGCTCTTGAAGAGCGACTGTGGTCAGAGTTTGTGGACTGGGTTGCTGTGGACTGTAACCTTGAGTCGGCAGAGCACCTCACGAGTGTGTCGGCTACTGTGGCTCCGCTGCTGCGAGAATACGGAGACGAGCTCTTTCGAATAGGCTCTTCGTTGAGTTACTTCCGGCACCTCCTTGCCTTTGCTCAGCGAAAGTTTCCGGATTTTCGGATGCACGGGCACATCTGCTGGGATGCTGTGACCAGATGGGAGCAATTGGAGCCTCTGGAACATCGGAAGCCTCTTCCCGCGGCTCTGTGCAGAGCTATGGTCGCTCTGGCATTGGCCTGGGAGTGGCCCAGGTTTGCGCTAGTGCTTCTTCTTGCGTTCGAAGGGATCATGCGGATCGGAGAAATGCTGAATGCTTATCGCCTTGACTTGGTGCTGCCAGTGGACCTTTTGTCTGACAACTGTGAGCAGCTCTTCATCCGCATTGGTGCACCGAAAACAAAACGCAGAGGTGGCGGCCGCAAGCAGCACGCTACTGTTAAGGGCAGTGACCTTGTAGCAGCAGCTACGGCAGTGTTCGCCGAGCTCGCTCCTACAGAAAAGCTGTATCCGCTTTCGTCTCAGAGCTTCAGGAGACGGTGGGATGCCTTGCTTTCGCATCTGCATGTCAGCCCGGAGCTCAACCTGACTCCTGCTGGGATTCGAGGCGGCGGTGCCATTCAGGCTTATCAAGCTGGGCTCTCAGTCACCGATCTGCTTTGGAAAATGCGGTTACAGCATGTGCACACGCTCCAGCACTACTTGCAAGAGCTTGCTGCCGAAAGTGTGCTCTCCCAGCTCTCTCAAGAAAGTCGCTGCTCAATTCGAGCAGCTGCCGCTTTACTTCCGCACCTGCTAGCCAGACTTTCTCTTCGCTGCCGGGGACCCTCGCATGGGCTTTAAGGCGTGCGCCTTTCGTTGCCCCGAAACGGCCCGCGACTAAGTGGTGGAGTTTTACTTGGCTTCTTTGACTTCTTCGACGACAGCCTCCAGCACGACTCCTTCGCCTGCGAGAACTCCGGCCTCGAGCCCTTTTACCTTCGCGGCTTCTTCGTGCGGGAAAGTGCAGAACTACGACTTTCGAGCTTTCTGCTCTCTTTCGAAGGCTGTCTCGAAGGCTCTCTTTCTGTTAGAAGCCTACCGGTCAAGACCGGTCTCCAACCTTGGACGTGGCTGAGCGGCGAAAAAGTGAGACGCGCGGCCGCTGCAGCTGTGAGTGAGTACTTAACATGTACTTTCATGTTCAGTGCGAAAACGAACGCTGCCAGCTTGTGGGCCCTCCCGCCCACCCGTGAGTTTTACTTGGCTTCTTTGACTTCTTCGACGACAGCCTCCAGCACGACTCCTTCGCCTGCGAGAACTCCGGCCTCGAGCCCTTTTACCTTCGCGGCTTCTTCGTGCGGGAAAGTGCAGAACTACGACTTTCGAGCTTTCTGCTCTCTTTCGAAGGCTGTCTCGAAGGCTCTCTTTCTGTTAGAAGCCTACCGGTCAAGACCGGTCTCCAACCTTGGACGTGGCTGAGCGGCGAAAAAGTGAGACGCGCGGCCGCTGCAGCTGTGAGTGAGTACTTAACATGTATTTCAAGCACTGCTTAACCCCGCCGCTGGCATGGGACGTGAAGAGGAGCCAGACGGGCGGAGTCAGTGTGTGGCATTTCGCAATAGAGAAGCCGGTGTCGTTACTAGCATTTTTCCGTAGGCTTGCTGATTAATGCTATGCTGCTATACCATCACATGCCCCTATAACCGCTGTTCCAAGTATTGGCCCCTTTATTTTCAAAACCAGTGGGCTTGGACACCAAGGAGCAGGGCCCTGTTGGCGTTGCAATAGCGGGCGCCGCCACTCCTACCGCACTCTGTGGTATTTTCGAGGGATGAAGGTACTTGCGCTAAAGTGCTTCAATTGTAACCCCAGTACAGAAGTATGTACCACTGTTTCTGATAGAGCTATGAGTTGCCAAATAGCGCTCTGATTTTACAACAGGGTTTGTTGGGATGGCTTGGTTCACAATCGTCTAGCCCGTATAGTGGATGACCTAGGAGAGTGGTACCACAAATGGCTTGTTTCTAGCATGACGCCTCAGGAGTTTCTGGAGTTGCGTTTTTCTTGCGGACAGGAAACAGCAGACTTACTTAGCAGGTTTGTGTCAAAACTCATTGTAGCATTCGGTAACCTTCCCTGGCGTCCAAGAAGACAACAAATGCTGAAGGCCCGAAACCCGCCAAACCTAAAGCTTGAACTGTCAACTGATTGAGGCAGTCTTTGACTTGGGGGGTTCTCCGGCCTTCATGAAGCCAGCTAGAATCCTCACTGTCAGGACCCGTATCCCCAAATCCACATGCCTTTCATCTCCCATGTCTGTAAGAAGCCCCTGCACGGTTCAGGGAGGCCGCGGATGAAATCATTGAGGTTTCAGGTGCTTATGCTTTTGAGTGGCCGAGTCTAGATTCTCATGCGTTTCGATCTCCCTCGACTTGGCGAGGCTAAGGGCGGGTAATGTAGGCCGTTGATTGACAACTCCCCCTTCCGTTTTTGGGCCGTAATATTCGGAGTATTCTACTGCAAACTTAGGGAGAGGGGTTTACGAGTCAGGGAGCCTGAACCATTAAACCGAAGAAGTAGTGTGTAAACTCTACGAAATCCAAAGTCCCTGAAGCCGATCTTGCTGGAACTGAGGCTCCCGCCCCCTGGCGTGGCAGGGTGGCTATCCCGAAGCACCCGTTCCAGGTGACGCGTCTCATCTCGGGGACTACAGCGGCGAAGGGCTTTGCATCTAGGGGGTTGGGGTTTTGGGTACGGTCAGGCCCTACGTGTACCTTGTCGCTTTTCGGCCCCCGGAAGGTGGATTGCGAGAGCCCTGTGTGTGAGATGCTTAGATTTATGTGGCCTTTCCGGTTGAGGTTTGATGGTAAGGATGAAGGTGATGATGAGGATGGTGGTGATGAGCAAGACCACCATGATAATATTAGTAAGGTTCTTTTTGCGGTGGTTTGTCTACGGTGACTGCAGTGGTTTCCCTGGCTGTATGATTGCGACTAGTGCACCACCCTCGGCAGCACCATCAGCACGGTAGTATGTTTGGGGCCACACGGATAGTGCTATGAATGCTTATATCTTTTTTTTTAATTCTTGTTAATATCCAGCCATAAGGCCCACACCCCACAGGCCGAACCCCCTGAGGCCACCTTTGCAAACCTCTGCTGGCGCACGCTGCGGGTGCGGTCAGCAGCCTGGCGCTGCTTTGGTTTAGGGAGGTGTCAGGAGGGGTTTCGTGGCGGGTATCTAGGATATGCAAGAAGGTATTTGGGGTGTCTAAAGTTTAGGATTCCAGGATGTGGGTTGTCAGTCTTCCTGAACTGACTGGTGTCGTGAGCTACATGATTGAATACAGCCACCCCCTTCTTTTCTATGATGGGCCTTTCGAACTTGCCCTCAACCTGACTGAAGCCCGAGATCTCTGACAGCCATGATTTTTTTCAGTTTTAGTTGCGCTGCAAAACTCGCAGGGAGCCCCGGTGTGACAATGCGACAGCAGTAAGTAAAAGATTAAGAGCAAAAGAAATTTGATTCAATTCCTAGATCCCCACGCCCAATGAGCGCTGTATACACTCCTTCTAGCCTTTCGGGTTTGGCAGGGGTGCCTGCCCTTGAAGACCCATTTCTCCTGCCAAGGAAGTGGTGCTTGCTCTTCAAGGCCGGGCTGACCAGCAGGGGATCCTCAGTTTAGGTTTTTTGACTACGGACAAGATGGTTTCGGATTCCGATCATGTGTCACGTGGGACCATCTGTGTCCTGCAGCCGGGCTTGACGTTTCGAACGCCTGGGAGAGAGAGAGAGAGAGAGAGAGAGAGGTGTTTTGGGTTTCAGGCCCTGCTTTAAGGCCTGAGTTCAATTCAAAACCTACGGTTCAATCTGCTTCTGCCGTCAAGCGTCGACAATGAAAAAGCCAGTGCGCCTCGCAAGGCATCAAGGGGGAGAGCGAGCGAAGATTGCAGCAGGAGACGATCTTCAGCAGCTCTTCTGCCATGGAGTGTTCGGTTTTTTGAAAGTCCGTGTTCGGGGTGTTAGGCGGTTGGCAAGAGGTCGCAATGATCCTTGACGTTACAATCCTTTCCGGCACAGCCACACCAACCACACGACCAAGCCTTGAACCTGAAACTAAAGCCTGCAACCAGCCATCTGCCTTGCCCAAATCAGGCACCGACTTCTCTAGACCGCTGCGGTTAGACGAGTTTCGGCAAAACCTTCGGCGTCTTGGCTTCGGGCTGTGCTCCAGGCCTTCTTCTTGGGCGCGAAAAACTTGATTTCCCCAATTGCAGAGCCACAAGCGGCCCCCTAAACTCGTAGGCTCTTCTGCCCTCAGTCTTCAGTGCCCTCAGTCTCCAGCCCTGAAGCCACAAAAGCCCGAACACTTGAAGCCGACATCCAAACTCCCACCCCAACATGCAACCCTAACACACATGTTTCGAGGTCCTCGTGCGCGGAGGCAGCGCTGTCGCTGAAGGTGCCATCTGGTGCAAGTGCAAGGTTCTAAGATCTGGGCTTGGGGTCCGTGGAAAAGCGGCCACTACTCAGAGAGACGAGGCAGGCGTTAACAGCGCCCAGATCCCTGGCCAAGCGAAAGCGCAAGGATGCCGCGGCCCCGTTCGAAGAGGAAGAAGGCCTGCAAGATGGACATGTCAACGGATGCACGCGATTCTGATCTGTGCCGCCTGGATGCTCCACAATCGACCCAGACTTGGAAGAACGCGGGGCGGGGCGGTCTGAACTCCAGGATGCTTGCGCCAATTAGCTACCAGACAACACCTGCGAAAATTGAGGGCCACAAGGCAGGAAATAACCGAATAGCATCCCTACCATTTGTTTCGGATGTGGCGTGGCTTCACAAGCCTCCAGTGGCTTAGATCGCTTTACATTTCAGCAAGCAGCAAAGGGTGTGAAGGGTCTACTGTTTGGAGAAGAGAACGCACAGTTATCTAACCCGTCAGATACAATGTTGCTTGGAGTCCTTTCTTCCCTTATGCCGTAAAGGTCCAGCATAGAAATCGCAAGTATGGTGCATTGCGAAGAGGGCCATGGAACTAAGCTAAGCCTTATAACAAGCCCGAACAAAGGCGCCTGGAGGCCTCGCGGCCTAAACACTAGCACCCTTAAGCACTGCCGGTTCTCGCCGTTGCGGGAGAAAGCAGGAAGCATGGCCAGCGGCGTTGCAGACGACAGTCCCAGTCTCGGTGATATTTTTTGGAAGACTAGACAAAGGCAAGATGAACATTTCTGCTCATTACTCTTGCTGTTCTAAAGCCGTTTGTTGCGAGTAGTTGTCTTCCTAACGGTTTTGAATATGTCTTTCCTTTCTGTCTGACGCTTTGATTTTCTTGACTCTGAGTTGGCGAACCCCAAACCGCTAGTGCATCCCATAGCTGCCATAGCTTTGGATGGAAAGCCGGTACCTCTTTCCCATCGTTTGTTTCCACTGACCATTAGCTGTTTCTCGGCCAATTGTCCAGCCGATCACCCTGTTGTGTCCGCCATTCCTTAAGCCAGCGAGCTGCTGACCTGGACGTCCCTACCATGCCCAAAGCCCATCTCTAGCTCATATATTGAACTAAACGGCCGGCAGCCATCATAATTCACGGATTCGGAAATAGTGCTTGCTGGATCGGTGGAGTTCGTTGGTAGCGAATTTGTGTGTGTAGAAGGCGCGGGCAATTCTCCAAAGGTAGCCATCTTAGCAAAGTCCCCCAGCAGTTGTTTGTCCTTATCGAAATGTGGCCGTCGTATCTTCCTGAGCTTTTGGACTGCCGACCTGGAACGACAAACCAAAGAGTTTGCGGTACACGCAGGCAACCAGCTCGATTCAAACCCCCCGCATCCCGAACGCCGCCAGCCTGAAAATCATCAACGCCTCAATACAATGGCCTCAAGGTGATCCGGGAGTTCGAATCCATCCAGAAGGGATGGTTCAACGTGCACGAGAAGAGCGTGGACCGTGTGAGTCGGGCTGAAGCAAGGCTTTGTCACGGATTATGGCCTTAACCCTACTTGTTTAAGGACTTGTATAAGGAACTCATATTACTACGAACCCTAAAAAATGTCGGTTTGTTAGGGTTTAGGTAGGGTTTGGGGTGGCGATTCTGGGAGTTGATACGTGGAAGTCTTGACAACCGACGCAAGGCCTGGAAACGCTCCCATTTTTTTGCGAAGCCCAGAAGCCTGAGCCTTGAAACATGAACGCCCCAAACCCTGAACCCCCAACCCTAGCTGCCTTTAAGATTGCAGGGGCTTCGTCCTTGCTAGGTAGGAGGGAAAAAACTGCCTTTAAGCCCTCCCTGAAATCCTCGGCATGCAGCAAGCCTTGTTGAACTTGGTTATGGAGACTCGTTTAAAACTCTCTCAAAGCTCTAAGCACCCCAAACGCTCCTTGGAGGACCTCTACCGCCAGGGAAAGCTCCGACGATTTCTGCTCCTTGCCCGACTCATCATGCAGGCCGTTGCTTCCGTCGCGGATCGGGTCAGTAGGGTGTCTTTAGGAGGTAGGCTTGGGGAGTTGGAATGAAAGAGGGAACTCTCTACTGTTTTGCCTTTTCTGCTTCACAGAGCCTTTCAAGAAAGAGCCCTTTTGCAAACTCGATACTTTGCAGCTACTCAGAACTGCCCAAGACTAAGTGGCGTTGTGAAAGATTGAGTCCAAGGGCCGAGGGCCACGCCTCGCAGGATACTTTGCGGAACATCGCCAAGAATGCTGTCAAGAACTATGTCGAAGCGAGCCGCGGCAAGGAAATGAGAGCTCGTCAGTCCACAACCCAACGTCTTGAGCCTAGAGATCTTGAACCTCAAAGATCCTAAACTCCAGACAACGAGTCGTAAACCCCAAGAAGCCCTTCCTCCTCCACCTGGAGCTTCAACATCGCCAAGCCACATGATTTGGACTCTGCGGCCTTCGCTGCGGAATCGAACGCACGGCGAGGAGGTAGAGTATGTGCTGTCCTACCTAAACCTTACATAGCAGCGTCAGGGTAGCAAAGGAGGCCCGAATAACGACGCCTCTGGATGAGAATTTTGCCCAAAGGTTCAGGGGACATCACTGCTTGTTTAATGCATGTCAGTTAACTCTGTTGTAAGCTCAGATACCTCTTGTTTAAACTTTGCTTTGAGTTTAGAGTGACCATGGAAGCGTCTGGATGCAGAGGCAGACACAGCGAGAGAGAAGAAGCAAGAAAATTCGGGCATCTATATAATAGTCTATATACTACATACACCCATGCACTCCGAAACACTGGACACGCTTCATGAAGGTTCGGTCGCACCTTGCAACACCTTTACGCCCAAAACCGCAAAGCCCGAAAGCCCTGACTGAGGCTCGAGAGAGTGGCTCCCGTACGCACCTTCGTCGAGTCCTATGCCAGCGCCGATGCCAGCAAAGAGCCTGAAGCTCCACACAAGCTCTAACAGACATTACTATTTCAGCGAGGGCAGGTGAGTGTAGGGTTTTTTTCAGGGATGTCGAAATATGTGAGGTTTGTAGGCCCCAAATCCCGAAATCAGAGATTTTTGGGCTAGCGTGGCAGGCGTATCCCGTATGAAGGAGCTGCGCTAGACTTCCTCAAAACCTCGAGATCCTGAAGTTTCGCTGGGCTTGAGCTGTAGAATCTTACCGATGTCCCGGACCAGTCTTGGGGTGGCTTAGGGTTTTCTTTTCTATACGTCACGACTGCGTTAGCTTAACAAAGATCTCTAGCAAAGGCCAAGTGGCTCCTCAAGCTTGGACGGGTTAGGCGCCGCGGCACCAGCAGCGGTGTAGTTAGTTTGGGTAATTATAATTAGAGAAGGACCCCAGTGCAACTACCATGTGCTGAAGCTCTACGGCGATTTTGGCGGTCCCGTAAGCTGTAGCTTTCAAGGGTTCTCCTCTTGGAGGGCCTCCATTAGATTGCCTTAGAGTTCTAGAAGGCAGCGTGAGAGCATCCAGGCCCTGCAAAGTAGATAGAAGACCAGCCCTGAATCTCCGCTTCGCACACCCTACAGCCTTGAACGCAAACATTCCCGAAGAGCGCAATGCTTACTAATGAGGCAATGGACTGCAGATCATCTTGCAGACCCTTACCGCAGTATCAGCGATATGCCTTATTTAAGAGTTAGTTGCCTTCCAGGTGAGTCCAAAACAGACAGCCTCAAGCCCCCTAAAGCCCAGAACACAAGCCCCAAAGGCCTCAAATCTCAGTCCTTTTGATCCTTAAACCCAAAAGGGCCTTTAATCCTAACACACACAGGTGCTAAATCCTAAACATTTGAATCCGCAGACCAGAAACCAAATTCTTTCAGCACAAGAAGAATCGAATCCTAGAGCTTCAGCCAGAAAACCCTAGGCTAGAATCCCAAACGCTCCGGCACCGACTGCTGTTATCATACTATGCTCTGGTGGAGCAACATCTATACGCTAGACCTTTAACGCTAAACCCTAACCCCTCGTTTTGCGGCTGTATAGGTACATCACGCACACATGCGCAAATTATATGTACACCGCTTGGAGACGCTAAACTCAGAGCCCGTTGAAACCCTTGCCAAGCTTGCATAAAACCTTTCTACATCCAGGTCTAGTCCAGGGGTGGGCGGGACAGTTGGCACGTGCTGCTCCGATGCGCAATGCTTGTGTGGGCTCAGTTGGAGGCTTATGGAGGCTCCTATTAGCCTAGGGGCTATGGGCTTGTTCGCCATGGGTTCGCCGACGCCGACTTTGTTTGGGAGCACTACGGCGGGGGTGGCCTGCGTGGTCCTGTTGGAGTTGGTGGTGCACCACTGTCACGCTACGAAGGCGCGCGCTCACGGTTCACCGCCCTCTTGCCGCTTAAGTGCCACAGGCTCGATTGTCAACCGCAGGTAGATGTGAAGTCCGGGCTATCGAAGTTCCTGCACTTCGCGGAAGACTGGGCCGCAGCCTTGGGGGCAGAAACGGGGCCTTCTATAAATATGTAAATAGAAATAATTAGTTGTATGAGCTTGTGTATGTAAAACTGATCGTTATGAAACGGTATATATATATATATATATGTGTGTGTGTGTGCATGTCTATATATATATATATATATGTGTGCATGTCTGTATGGCTTTATGTCTGTCTGTCTGTCTGTCTGCCTGTCTTTGTGCATGCACGTATGTATGTATGATGATGTATGTATAGTTAGAAGGTCATTCTCCAACTCCGTAAAGGCCTGAAAAATCGCAGCTCCTGAAGAATCACAGCTGCATGCCCAGGCTCGTGGGAAAGGCTCAGGTCTGAGTCCCATGGCCACCCGCGTCGAGGAGGAGTGCAGCTTAGGGTTTGGGGTTTTAGGGTTTAGGGTTTGGGTTTTAGGGTGCGTCTTCGCTTCTCGTGTTTCTCTCACCCCGGCGTTTGCATCCCTCGGCCCTGCTGTTGAGGAGTGTTCGCTGGCACACAACCCAAGCCCATGCTGAAAAGGGTTTTGGGTTTTAGGGTTTAGGGTTTGGGATCCAGAGCTTTTGCAACATTGCAGCAGGGTTTGAGATCCTTATATAGGCAAGCAGCATCTTCTCCATGTGGCTTCAAGCTGCAGCTGCTCTAGCAGTGATGTTGCCGGCTTAGGTTGGCACCCGCATGGCAACATGCAGTCACTATAGTCAGGAGAGGGGTGTAATATACACACGCCAGTTACACGTGTATCATGATTAGTAATGCATTTGACACTTGTTCTGCCTGTTCTTACTACAACGTGTTCAATTGCTGTTCTTATCGTTTTCCGTTTTCCGAGAGAAAAATAACATTGCAACTATTGTCATCAATATGATTGGTCTTTCTATGTTTGCTATCTTCATTGTTAAATTATTGTGATTAGCATGGCTACGATTATTGCAGTTTTAAGGAGATTATTGCAAGTGCTGTTATTGCTCATGTTATCGTACTGACTACGGAGCCAGCAGCACTCATTATAACTCACTGTTATTCTTGATCCAGTGTCATGGTTATGATAGTTGGTGCTCCTTGTGTTGTTGTTACTATTACGACTTATGAAAAAGTATCATAGAAATTGGTTGCTGCTCTTCTCGCTTCTCCTTCTGCCCTTCTTATCCTCCTTCTGCTGACTCTATTGTCACTATCACCATGTGCTTTTTGCGATTTGGTCTGTGGAGGCCGACTTTATTCTATTTTAAATATCACCATTTTTTTGCGAACTGATTTTTAGAGGCCTGACACATGGGTGCCGAAGTGCTGGTTGGAGCATTGAAAGGAAGTTGGTGAGGGTTCCACGACTGCAGGATGCTTTGGGGGTGAATTGTTGAGTGCTCTCTCAAGACTTAACTTGCTTTGGGCATGTTGTATTCCACGTTGTAGTGGCTGTAGTAGAACTACTTAACTATCTGTTTCGGCCATGAATCATTGGAGTGAGAGACTGACCATATGCCCGTGACGAGAGGAGCTGATCCGTGTGCGCTTGAAGATCCTGAGATCCATGTACCAGCTTCTGGTTCATGTGAATCTAGTTCTGTTTTTTGCCGTCACCTGTGACTTAATCCGTGCACCTTGCCTGCAATCGGCGACGTGGTGGGTCATCGGTGGAGTTGCGTATTTGATGGCTCTTGGCATCGCCACCAACCGCTGGCCTCTCACACCTTCGAGTCTTCTCCCCTTGCGGCTAGTCTGCTGGGTTTCGCTTTTGGTTCTCATTGCCATGAGTAGCTACCAACAGGACGGCGCGTTGGGGCGGCAGGGCCTGTGCCTGGCAACTAATGTGGCACAGACGATCTTATTCCCTGTGGGCAGAATGACCGTGTTGCAGACCGTATCCTATTTTGCTGTCGACACCTGGGTCAAAGGGCAGGTGTTTGGCGCAGTAGACCTGTGGTTGGTCCTGTCTGCATGCGTCCAGGCCTTAGCATATATGGCCGTGCCGCTCTTTCTCGAGTTCGCCGTTCGGGAGTGGATTGCGGCATCCTTCCAATCGCAAGACTCAGAGTCCTTGATTCAGGGCTTTCGGCAGATGCTGAAAGGGATCTCTGACGGAGAATTGCTTCTCGATGGCAGCTTCCGGATCTGCGGCAGTGCGCCATGCCTTCAACGGCTCTTGTCAAGCAGAGAGGACTTTGCCGGACGCAGCTTTCGCGAGCTCATCGTCGATGACGAGGCCAAGGAAATGTTCGATCACTTCCTGGTGCCGGCAGCTGCGAGCGAGGGCGAAGAGGACCAGCAGAGTTCTCTCCAGCCGGGATCCAGCGCTGCCCCCCACTGCCTGCGCGTGCCCCTCCGGGATCCCTCTGGCCGGGCGATTTCGGTGGACGTTTTTCACGTCTCGCTGCAGCCCAGCCTCTATGGCGAGAGCACGACCTGCCACCTGCAGCTTGGTTGTTTGACATCTGGTCTTGGTCGGGGTGGATGCATATCGCCAGTCTCAACCAAAAAGTGCTGAGGCTTGCCCTGAAGGAGGATGTGCACTCCATGCAGCCACCGGAAGCACCTCTCTGAGCACTGCGGGGTGTTAGGTGTAGTGAATCTTTGCGAGGGCGGGGGTGGTCTGACTGAGGTGGATCCGGCGCAGAATGCTGCTCGACTTGCACTCACTGTTGTTTCTCTCCGGCCCCTTTGCTCTCCCTTTGCCCGCCCCGGCAAGGCGCTTCCCAGCAGTCTGCTGGCCTCCAGGCGCGCACCGGCGGCACACTCCGCTGCCAGCAGCGCCGCTTGGCGGAGCTTCTTAGAGCATCGTGCCTATAGTCTCCGTTGTAGTTCCCTGCTTTTTTTAACCCCTACTATATGTATGCAACCCCAGAAAGGAACAACGGAGACAGGTAGAGCCGTTTAGCTGCGGGCTTCGGGCCAAGGCTCTGAGCCACCAGCGCGACGCCCCCATCTTTCAAGACCCTTCCACACATCGAGGGGTTCCACGGAATATGTCAGAGTCTCGAATTTCGAGTTGAAGGAATGCCAGGGCTCGCGTTTGATTCCGTTATGAGAATGCAGGCAAGGAAGAACAAGAACAGCCCGTTTTCCTGTCGCCGCTTCTTGGGTTCTTTGGGTGTTTCAGCTCTCTCTTGGCAAGGAATCCTGCGTGGAATGCTATGACGAGCTGGCGGAGATGACGCTGCTTGTGAATGCGAGCACGGAGCTCCTGGACATCGAAGAGGTCCACCTGAGATACGCATCTTGGCTCGTATTGTTGATATGGTTTGTGGGCTCGCCTTTGGTTGTTTTAGATTGTGCCCGAGGTGCGAAGGACCGACGACTCCAAGGCACGCGCATGGGGTCGTTTCAAGCAGACATGCGGATCATTGTGAAATGCAACATGCTACGAGGTGCAGATGGGCATGCCAACCCTGAAGCGCTTTGCACGGCCGCTGGACTGGGCCGGCATCGATGCTGCCCTTCGCCGGTACGCGCGCAAGGTGCGCAAAGCCCGT